AACACCAGTCTGACAGTCTGCATTGCTATTAGCGCTAGACGTCCTAACGATATGTGTCTTAAGAAAGCGTCATGGCTAATTTGGTTGTTTTGAAGAACTACCAAACATAATGTTGGCGTACATAATGTTGAAACAGAACTTGCTGGTATACAGTAATTAGCGAAATGGGTAACATCACAACATTTGATGCTGCCTGAGAGGGTTCAGATCCCTGCTCAGGCAGTAACCTTATAAGAAAGAGAGATAAAAAAAAGATCTCATTATTATCTTTACAAGATGTTCAGTGCAGACATTCACATTTGAGAAGTGACAAAAAATAAATACTGGCAATTTCAAGATAAAAAGGATTCTGGAAACCATGTTTACATTAGTCAAACCAAACAAATCTTTTAATGACTTCACATAATGTGGCATATTTTAATGTCTAATATGGAGCAGGTTTAGAATGAATTAAACTGTCCATTAGGATGAGCTAATGGTAAAGCTAACTCTGGAGCTAAAAAAAGTAATCTTAGCATTGGTCTGTAAGATTGTTTATCATTACTTATGATATTAATATTATAATATGAGTGTTAGCATATGCAGTAATCCTGCTAAGTTTAGATCACAGTTATAATCATAATTTGTCATGTCTCATGAAAATTTCTCCAAGTATCGTGATGTTATGTATTTTCCATATCGCCCATCCTTATTTACTAGTCATGTTTCGTAGTTCCTTACACCCTGAGAATAGAGCCTATACGATTACTTAGACTGTACAAGATTCGTCACTCTTGGGTTCCCCCTCTGGTCCTGTACTCTCCATTAAAATGCTGATGGTCTCCTTAGGAAAGCATCGCATTCCATAATGTGGTAATTTTGAAAAATCATCAAATGTCAGCAAATAAGCAAAGGAGGGAACTTCAGGTCCAGAAATCCTCTTCCCCAGGATTTTGTTCCAACTGCCTGGAAAGCTCTGCTGCTGTTTTGAGCTAACTAGAGAAGCCAGGCAGTTGGAACAGAATCCTGGGGAGGATTTTTACTTTCTGGATCTGAATTTACCACCTCTGCAAATAAGGGGTGTTTAACTTGCTACACCAGGTTGTCGATATTCTAAAGCTTTACTCTTTGGCGTTCTGAAATAGAGTTATGGCAAAATAGTATGTGGTGATTACATAGTACAGTGAATTATGGCTTAGCTTTGTATGATACCAAATGGGGTTCAAACCCCTCTGTAGATAGTAATGTTAGTGCACACTGCCTTAATAAGAGAAATTGAATTAAGTCTAATTTATGTTCATGTTGCTCTTTTTTCCCTTTGAGCCCCCCCCCAAACAGGCGCGCACACCTGTTTCTGTTTATATGTTTTCAGTGTATGTGCTTTTTCAGTGAGTGTGTGTGTGAATAGATACAGTTGTGTGTTTGTGTGTCATACATCACTGAAGTGAGGGATTCCTCTCTGGCAGCCCACACACACACACACACACTCACACACAGTCACAGTCCCACTGCCACTGCATTGCAGGAATGGGAGGGGGTGTGGAGGAGGGGAGGATGGGGTTGCTGTTGTTGCCGTGTGACAGAAACACCAATCAGAGAGAAGCTCACAACAGCTGTGGAGGCAGATCTTTCAGACTGGGGGAAACCCTTATACTGTTTTTCTAAAAGATTCTCTCTCTGTCTCTCTTTCTCCCTCTGTCTCTCTCTCTCTCTCTCTCTCTCTCTCTCTTTCTCTCTCTCTCTCTCTCTCGCTTTCTCTTTCTCTTTCTCTTCTTTCTTTCTCTCCCTGTATATTTTCAGTCCTCTCCCTTTTCTGTTCATTCTCTCTTCTTTCTCTTTTTGCTCTCACATTCTCTTTTCACTTACTCTCTCTCACTCTCTCCCTCCTCTCTCTCACACACTCTCTTCTTTCCCTCTCTCCATATATTTTCTCATTTTTCTCTCATTTTCTGGTCATTCTCTCTCTCTCTCTCTCTCTCTCTCACATGCACACACACTCTCTCTTTTATTTCTCTCTTTTTTTATTCCCTTTCTCTCTCTTTTGACTGCCTGCTCTCTCTCTCTCTCATCTCTCTTTTGCATTCTCTCTCTCTCTTGCTCCCCCGCTCTCATGGACAGTGATATTGTGTTATGACGTCTTTCTTTTTCTTTCTTTCTTTCTTTCTTTCTTTCTTTTTCAGTTTGTCTCTTTTATCTTTTTTATCTTTCTCTCATCTCTGATTCTTTACTGTCCCTCTTTTCTCTCTCTCATTTTTAAATCTCTCTCTTTCTCTCTCTTCTGTCTTTCTCTACTTTCCTGTATTCTGTCTGTCTATACCCTCTTCCTCTCATGAACTTGGATATTGTGGCATGGGAAAAGGATCTTTCTCTTTCTTGTTTTTTTTTATTTCCTTCTCCCTCCTTCCTCCCACTTATCTTCTTTTCTTCTCTCTCTCTCTCTCTCTCTCTCTAAAAGGCTGGTTAGAGCTAATGGAAACTGAGGGAAGCTCTGTGGGTGGAGGGAAAGATAAATAAGATCATGTTCTCTAGCTCAATAACTCTATCAGGGGAGTACACAGCCATTCTCTCTCAGCCTGCACTGCCTCCTTCAGCGTCTCCTCTTTTCCTTTGTTTTCAAACTGCCCGTGGACCCTCCCTGCCCAATGTGTGCACCTGCCCAGCAGCGGTGGCAGCCCTTCCTCCTTTAATTGGCTTGATAACAGATGGCGGGTCATGTGGCTGCGATGGAGGAGCTTTTTTTCTCCCGTTCTGTCACTGCTTCTTCATACATAAAGGGCTAAAGCACATGGAAATGAGTGTGAATTGCTTACCAAAGACTGTGAGACTAGATACCAAAGACTATGCAATATGATTATAAGTCATGCTCAGAGGTATTTGCACGTTTTTTGCTATATGGCACTTTGTTCTTGCTTTTTTTGAACCGTAGTGTTACAACTTAGATGCTGTTTAGTACACATATTACTTTTTTGTGTTTTTGGCACAAGTCTTGACTTTTCTCTTTCTTTTTTGTGTTTTATTATTATTCGCAAGAACACATCCAGAAATATGTCATATGTCCATAGGTTTATGGACACCTGCTCATCCAGTGTTTCTTCTGAAATCAAGGGTATTCATCGGGAGTTTGTTCCCCCTTTGCTGCAATAACAATCTACTATTTGTGGATTCTTTATACTAGATTTTGAAATATTGCTGTGAGAATTTAATTGCATTTAGCCACAAGAGCGTTAGTGAATCACAAACACCCCTTCAACTCCAGAGAACACAGTTCTACTGCTCCACCACCCTGGGGGGCTTTATACTCCTCTAGCTGATGCTTGGCATTGGGCATGATGACCTTAGGCTCAGGTGCAGCTGCTCCAGAGCATTCCATTCTTTGGCAGTTCTTTTCTATGGAGATTACAAGATTATGTGAGATTATATGTATATTTGACAACCTACTTTTCTTATACTTTTAACTAATTTGCTCCCCAGTCAGGTTGTGGCCAATACCACCCACACATTAGGTCTTCCTCTATTACACAAACCTACCAAGCTAGGAGAGTGAAAGCTAGCATATTCCTCCATCCAAGACACAAAATGTGCCACATTTGAATTGGCTATAAAGCAACATCATCGGACAGCTCAGCATGCTTGGAAGAAAATTCTACCTCGCTAACAGATGTCTGTGTTGGCTAGAATCACGCTGAGTGATAGGTGGGAGAGCAGGACCATCCAAGCCAGAGAGATCGTTAGACTGTTGCTACCAACTTGGTAGCATCTACTAGGGGGAAATCTAGCTAGCAGGTGGAATTGGCTATGACTAAGATTTAAGCATTAAGCGTAATTAGAATGAGGACATAAGATTCAGATTTTTGGACTTTTCCTATAAAGTTACTAAAGATTTCATTTAGACAGCAACAATGTCCCATGAGAGAGAGACCAATAAAGAGTGCGAGAGAGAGAGTATATGGTTTGAGATATGACTGGAAGAGATTAATACAATATCTCCAGCCACCCCGAGAGAACACAGTGCAATGGCTCTTGAAGATAATCCACCATTTTGGTTTTAGTCTTCTCTGTGTGCTTCAGACAGTTATGCCATAAACTCTCCACTTTATAGTGTTGTTTATTATTGATTTTAAAAGGATTGATTTCTAGCAGCTTTTGTTTTCTTGCCACAACACACAGAGCTTTAGAAAAGAACAAACTTGTGTCTTTTCTTGGTACAACTCATCTATGTTTGCTTTGAATTCACACTAAAATTTGCCCGCAGCAGAATTTAATAACAATAATTAGAAGTTATTAATGCACCCTTAAATCTGACTGAAACTGAACTGAACTGAATGGGAAAAAAATAGAAATATACATTTACCCAGGTCTGTTTTGCTTCATTAAAAAGAGTGCAATGAACAAGGAAAAGGTGGCATGCTTTGCAATTAAAGGTTATAAATCACAATATATTGTATATGTATGTGGTATGTTGTGTTTACTTTACAATATATTGTGAACTGTAAAAAATGCAATAAAATCATATGTGATAATATATCATGGGGCCTCTAGTGATATCACCCTATTATTAATGACTCTTTTTTCTCATGTTATCTTTAGTTTTTCTCTTTGAATAGGGAGAGACCTATAAACCACAAAATAAAAGCCTAAATTAACATTTCAAAACATATTTGAAATCACTGATAAAATAAGCATAGTTTATATTGTTTGGCTCAAATAACACACAGCTTGTTCTGGCCACTGTGCCTGTACATATTTCCCCAATAAGGAAGATCTTTTCCCGCCTGCAACTTAACCAGCAAGCCACTTGGGTTATTTTATTGAAAGGCAGGACTCTCCCTGCCATATTGAGAGTTATGAGCTTTTCCATTCATTTTCAACCAAGGAACTGTCTCCTCCTTCATAATGTCTTTGGTGGTGTATACACACAAACACACATGCATACACATATACACACTCAGTAGCATCATTCTGTTGTTGATCCTGTACAGTAAAGAGTGTTTATGAATGTGTGTGTCTGTGTGTGTGTGCAGGGAGTTTGCTAAGGAGCGTGAGCGGGTGGAGAAGAGGCAGGAGTTTCTGAAGCTGCGCAGACAGCAGCAGATTGAAAGAGAGCTCACAGGATACCTCGAGTGGATCTGTAAAGCAGGTATGCCTCACACACACACACTTTACCCACTGTGATGTCACTAGTAGGGACGCACCGATATGGAACTTTGGGCCCATACAATAGCTGATTATTGTGGTGTTCTCTTCCATATGCCTGTAGTGTGCCTCACAAGTAATGGTCATTAGCTATGTTTCCATTGACTTTCTGCACATATTACTATTGATAAAATTAAAAATTAGATTTTTGTTTCCATGTCACTTAGTGTTTGTGATAAAATGCTGTATGAAATGGTGTAGTTTTCTACAAAAAACAGGCCTAACGTCTCCTAACTTCTAACTTCTTCTTTATCAATGACATGCTTCCATCTTTACTGTATGTCGCAACTTGTGTACCTTTGGGCTTGCGCTCACCGTAACCTACTGATAAAGTTGTGACAAACATTACTTTTTCATTTATTTATTTGTCTATTTTTTACATTGGAGCCTTTATGGGATAGATCATATTTCTCTACCATATAAAGCAATTTGAGCACTTTCCATTTATTTCCATATATCTCTCTCTGTAAGTGCTGAAAAGTAGCAACATTCCTTTTAAAAATGCTCTCATCTCCTCATCAGTCCAACTCATCTCCTCTAACATGCTGTTTGTGTTTGTTTGAGTTTGATGTATGAGTTACATGAGGGAAATCAGTCAAATGAATTTATTTCATTTAAATAGTTAATTCAGTTCTTTTTCTTGGAAAAAAGAGGTTTCCACCACATTTCAAGTAAACAATTTTGACCTGATAAACAGATAAAAAAGTTAACATTCACAAAATATTACCAACAATTTCCATTTCAATGGCCTACATTGACCAGGTTTTTGAATGTTTTCTGCAAAAATTCTTGGGATGGAAATGTAGTGTTATGCTCCAGCCCTGTTCTCTAGTGTGAGGCCTTAGTGTTATCCACTATTCTATCCATTTCTTTAAAGGAAAAAAGATTCCCTCTACTAGTGAGTACACGTGCGTCAGTGTGAAAGCCACAAACAGGATGCTAAATTATATGTAATTCCAATATCAAACTAACAATAGTTTAACAATACAATAATAACTCTCATTTATGAGCAAATAATATATTGGCTGCCAAAATGTCTCTAATTATCAATTAATAGTGCTCGGTGCTATACAAGTATACCAGTATTGGCATCACAAAACAGTACTGATTTTAGTTTGAGTGATATTGACAGATCAAAAAACTTTACCGGTGGTGTAAGGAATTTGCAGGCTGCTTTGGAAAGAGATAGTTTTGTACTGGACCTACAAGGCCAGTGATTAGGGATTTGCCTACCTAAATTATCACACACTTGGCTTAAACCACTTTTAGTTGTTTAGTAATCTCAAATAGATTTGCATATGGGGTTTATGACAACTTACGGCACATTGTTCTATAAAATTGGACAAAAGTATGGTACCTAATTAAAAACAGTAGTATCAGCCACTCTGAAGCTCGGTTTTGTCTGTATTTTGTCCATTTTTATAGATAACTGCTCCAATGCTCTCTAAAGCTTAAACGTGGTTTCTCCCTGGCCCTGGACTCTGGTCTGCCTTTCTATGTAGGTGCTGTCATTTTGCTGAGAGGAGTAGGACTGATGCTGTCGTACTGGTAAAGGTTAAAGCTTGGTTTTGGGGAAGCTGCTCCTAGCCCAGCTCCAAAAGGTCTGGGCCTCTGTGCCTCAGTGCCTCCCCTCTCTGGCAGCTCTGTGGCAACCAAATGGCCTTTTGTTTTTATCGCCAGGTGCTCCAAAGCTGCTGCTTTCAGCCGACTGGCACTGAGGTCTCTTTCATGAAGGCCAGCTCCGAGAATTGCCAGATGAGCATGCATAATTTGGGCATAATACAATATTTTAGTCATATTGGCAGCAGGCTTTGCACTAGGAAAGTTAAATGGTGGTTAGGTGTTTGATAGTGCTTCACGGTGTAAGTTCCGGTTATTGGTTTTAATGTTGATAGATATATAGACAGACAGACAGACAGACAGATAAATATATAGATAGATAAAATTCCTTCATTCTGAAGTAAATTGCAGCTTTACAGTAGCAAGACATATAATTGTACATAAACTGATGCAGATATATTCACACTGTATGAAACGCTTGGTCTGATTGATGTGCTAAGTGAAAAGAGGAATCTACAGTTAGCTTTGTCTATAGTCAATTTCCAATAAAGCTGTTTTACTCAAAACAGTGCTGAGAAGAAACACTGAAGAGCCTTGTTCACCTCATTCTATGCCAGTATCAGTATTTATGTTTATTTAGGTTTGGGTTGGTATAGTGTAGTGGGTAACACCTCTGCCAGCTACGCTGAAGACTGGGGTTCAATACCCTGCTCAGGCAAGGACCCTACGCTATACAAATAAGAGTCCTTGGGCAAGACTCTCAGCTCTACCTTCACCTACCTGTGTAAAATGATCAAATTGTAAGTCACTCTGGATAAGAACATCTGCCCTAAATGTAAATGTTTATGCATCCCTACTTTCCATTAAACTGTTGTTGCTCCGGGACGTTTCTTACTTCACAATAACAGCACTTACAGACCAGGGCAGCACAAACAGGGCAGACATTTGACAAACTGACTTTATTAGGTTTTTGAAAGAGGACGTCTTATGACAGTCCCACGCTGAAAGTCACTGTGCTCAGTATGATCTGTTCTAATGCCAGCGTTTGTGTAGGGTGGTTGCATGGCTGTATGCTTAATATTGTACACCTAATAGCAATAGATGTGGATGAAATAGCCAACTTCACTGATTAGAAGGTTTCTGTCTTTCTCTGATTGTTCAGGTCTGGATTTGGGAGTGGGAAACCAGTCCAAAGTACTATTTGGACAGTATTAGTTTTACATGGGGAGGTGGGATAGCGCAATTTTACCACAGAACATCTGTAATTTTTATGACCAGTGTGCACAGGATAAGAAATCTTGGTATAATTTACAGAGTTGGGAGTGGCTACTCAATTTATGCACTGCTTTCACGCCAAAAAAGTTCCACTCGCACTACGTTCATTAAATGTCCAGACATTTAATTGTTATTTTGATTACCCTAACCATGTACCCAACTGTAATAAGTGAAGGCAAAATGTCACTGGTGGTGTCATTAATTTGGGAATTTAAAACCAATAGTCAATCGCTGCAACTTTTTTTGTCATTTTACATGTTGTAATATTTGCAGTCATGCAGGTGAGATAAGAGAATACATATGAACTTGGTTTGGGCCTCAGAGAATACAAGATGTACATGAAAAATGTGAGAGCTAATTTTTCACAAGATATGATGGGATATTTACAATCCTGTCAATTTGCATGGGATTAATATAACCTGTGGTTATTTCTACAGTTTGTTATAGATTGTGTAAAATCTGCTAGAATCTTTGCTGATGTGGAAGCATGCAGTCCATAAAACTGACTGACACTGTCGATTCATACTTAAATCTCAGAGAAACACTGTTAATAATTATATTATCCCACCTCCTCATGTAAAACTAATCCTACTCAAAAAGTCAAGGCAGGTTCTGACTGCAGCAGTTCTCTCATAGACACTGCATGTGACACTGTACGTGCTTTATTGGTTGACAGGTTGTGAGACATATTGCTTGTTATTGAGTCGTCTATGAAAGGTTGAATTCTGTAAAGGCCTTGTTGCCATTTGAACATACTCTAAATGTGATAAACTGCAGTTCATGTTGATTCAAGTCTTTATTGCTCTCCTAGGTGAGGAAATAAAGCAGCTTTGTTCCATTCTTCAATGTCTATCTGTTCTGAAGGCCACACATACAAGTGGCCTATAAAAAGCTCGATTCACCATCGGCCTAGGAGTTAATTAGCCGTTTCTCAGCATGGAGCTTCCTCATGGTCATTGTTTCTCAACAGCCCACCAGTTTTATTCTGTGGAGTGATTTCCCCGTCTTCCCTCGCTGTGGTACATTGAGGGAAGTCACATTCCAGTAAACTGCTTGCTGCTTGTGGTATTTGTGGCGAGTTCACATAGTCTACCTAAAAAAGTCCCAAAGTGAGCACCTCATTTCAGATAACTCTTTCTGTATGTCAAAACTGGGTTTTATTCCAGGTCATATTCATTATAGAAAAAATAAAAAAGGAAAGACAAAAACAGAGACAAATGCAGTTCCTCAAAAAAGTGACATTCTCAAATATTCTCTTAAAAAGGCTTTATTTTCTTAATTTCTCTTAAAAATGAATAATTTTTTTGTAGGCTAAGGTTATTTGTCTTGTCTATCATACATTTTACAACTTTACATTAACAGACAAGATACGTTTTGAATTCCAATCAAACATGATTTGCATTAACTGGTTATTCTTCTTGAGGAGAAAAAAATGTAGCAAAAACAAAATAAAAACAAATATTAAAAAAAATGCTAATCAAGAACTCAAATTGATACTGGAGGTAATACCCAACAGGAAAAATCCTACTTGGTCTATGTTTGCAATTATATTTTATGAAACCTATTGAAGTTACACTTGTAGAGGTTTACCTTGTCAATGCTAACAGTCTGAGACAAATGTGAGACTGTTATGAAGTTAATGCAAAATTTGAGAACACTGGGCCTCATTCATTTTTCTTCTTAAAACTTACGCAGATTTTACAAAGACTCTGACATTCAGCAATGTTTTCTTGTTTGGGATTTGTTCTTAGGTAAGAACAGAATCTACGCACACCCAAGAGCATAAAGGTGTGAACTATTCTGCAGTTTAAAAACACGTCATGAATCCTATGTAAACTTTTTCTTAGAAACTTTCTCAAAAACACATTTAAGAAAAAACCTGAATGAGCTCCATTTTTTTCAAGAATACCACTTGGTTTTAAAATTATACTTAAGAAAATAAAAGTTAAGAAGGAGACTTTTTAAAATACTTTTTTGAAGTATAACAATTTATCTTTTTCTTATAGTGACATTCCACTACGTTTCTTTTCTAAATTTGTACATTATACAGTCATTGAAGTTAGAGCTAAGTCATTCAGAGTGATTTGGAGTGAAATGGGTACAGTGGAGGTGAAAGGAACCAGTGGTTGTGCAGTGTATAACACCAATATAGCCATTTTATTTATTATCCAAAACCACCAGTAAACCTATACGTGTCAAATCTGTAAAAATAAGTTTGCTTTGGGTACTGTATTTACCATATATAAAATATATAAGGTAAATTTATTTAAAATTTATATGTTTTAGGCCAAAATTTCATCTCAGAACTATCATAAAACAATGTGTCATCATATACAAGGCATCATATATAACCATATCATATAATAGCTTTTAGAGACATTAAACGCTTCAGACATGGGCTGGTAGTCTGAGACTTTCACATTAAACCACTCTTGATCACTGTGTGTGCATCTTCATGACAAAACTGTGCAGAACTATTGGAAAAACAGTGGAAGTTTCTTGAAGTATAAAAACACATTTAGGAAGATTTTCTTTCTTAAGACACTTTTATGAATCTGACCCTGGATCCACAGGTTTTAATCCACACCTTTTCTGCTTTTTTCTGTTTCAATGTTAAAAATTGCCAAAAAATGGCACAAAATGTAACAGATTGTTTAGCTCGCTGCCAAATAGGCCTGCACACACAACAATAACTTGTTATTGGAAAAGCTCCAAATCCAGGGCGTGTAGGTTCAGCTAAATGTTTCATCACCTCACAGTAGCCTCCAGATTTGCTTGCTTGGCCTTCCTTATAGAATGGCTCGCTGCCAAACATGTCCTTCCACTAGTGCTTAAATCCCTGCAATTTGCAGATTAAAACGAGGGGGTGTGTGGTCTGGAGTAACGGGGCGTTTTCAGGAGCTCATGACTGGCGGATAGAGATCCGTCAACTGAGTGGAAAAAATTCTTTTGACTGAATGATTTGTCGGCCATAACAAACATGCAGCCTCTGTCTGTATATGTATGTGTGTCTGCATTAAATGATGTTTTCTGTGCCTCAGAGGAAGTCATGCTTGCTGAGGAGGATAAGAATGCAGAGGAGAAGTCTCCCCTGGACGGCGCCTGGTACAAGAGGAAGTGCAACAACCCAGGTAGGAATATTATAGAAAGATCACTCAGTTTAACCCCTTAAATGAAACATAAAACACTATACAAATAAAAATATTAAATATAAATAATATTTTGTTACTAAAATAATAAAATCCAATTTTAAAATGAAAATAAGAATTGAAGTTGTATATAGTGTGAAAATATGTTTGTTCTGTCACGGGTTGAAGATGTGTTTGGGTACCTTTCTGGTGGGCCAAACAAATTTCCTTACAGGCCACACTTAGGGCATGGGTTCTGCTTAAAACTACGTAATATTAGTTTCATCGCAACTCCTAAATAGTTTTTAGTAGCTACTGAATAATTCGCCTTAATATTGAGCTAATAAGCCTAAGTTAACACAAGGCTGTGCTGAAGAGAAATGATTCAGTGCAATCTAGTCTATACACACCTATTATAAAGCTATATGCTAACATTATGGCACTCCTTGACCTGATGACATGTTTTGTTGACTTTCTAAGTGAAAATATGTTGACATATCCTCTACAGAGAACATACTTCTGCACATGTAATGCACAGTTAGTGCTGTATTTGCTGTATTTATCACATTTGGGGAGAATAAAATATAGAATTTGGCCTGTGCAAAAGTACATTTCATATTTTATGTTTTGTTTTTCCAGTGTGTTCAACCATTTAAAGTAAATAAATAGAAATTGTGTACTGACATTTGCAGAGAAATGTCATATTCTCTGTAGAGGATGTGATAACTCATTTTCACTTAGCAAATCAACAAAACATGTAATTTGACCAGTGGTGTATTACAGAGTTGTTAAGCTGCAGGGCACTTCTAAACAAATAAGTTGTTTTTGCAACACTGTAATTTAATTAGAGTTCCTCTTACCGCTTCCCGACTGCCATAGCTTGGGCTCATGATTAGCTTCACTTTTAGATGTCTTGTTCTGTGATTGTGTATTTTAAATCATATGCTTAATGTGTTATGAAATTAGCGCTCAGCGTTTATCAAGTTAGTAGTGGATGTGCGCTGAAGTGCTCTCAGTCTGATGACTCAGCTCTTACTGCATGAGTGCAAACACCTGCATTATGTGTGTGTTAGTGGCCTCATGCTGGTCTCTGTGTCTCACAGATTCTCAGTCCAGCTTTCTTTGTTTTCATATGAGCCAGTGTGTATTAAGCTCAGGATCTGTGTCTCCCTCATGTTTTCAGTGTTGAAAAGATCCAAGAAGAGCAAAAATGACCTCATCAACGCAGAAGAAGGGGAAGACCATTTCACAGACATCTCATCAGTTGGTAAGCACTAAGCCCATGACTCAAAACACAAGCTGGGGGCCTCATTACAAAACATCCACATTTATGTGAACTGTGAAAAAGTCTGGTTTCCTTGATATGTTTTAAGGTTGGTCATGCGCTGAAATGACTGTTAAGACATGTGATGTACTTGTCGAATAGTAATAAAAAGATGAAACTAAGCAAAATACTTTACTATTAAAAATAGGCAAAATCCCTCTGCTAGTAGGTTGCTATGTTTGTTGTCCACTGTCTGAGGAACATCAAACTAAAAGTCTAACTCAAATATGTCATTCAGCCTTTCATAATTCTGCTAGAGCATGATGTTACCCAAGAGAAAATCTTTTTTGGTTGTCTTATTTTCCATATGGCATGAGCACAGTGCAACAGTGGTAACCTACTGGTATTGGGATTTGTCATGGTTTTAATAGTAAACAAAACATTTCCGTTACATCATTTTTAATAGTAATGAACATGTACACTATTTTAAGGCAGACAAGTCTTCACAGTCAGGACAGAGACAGGGGCCAGCAGAGCGAAGCAAGCGACGAGAGTGATAAAACATTAACATTTTCGCTGTTTTATGCAAAAGAGATGCAGTTTTTTGACTGCGGCCAATCAGATTGTCGAAATGTGGTGCAGTGCCTCCTCGTGTGACTTGTCTATATTTAAACTACGCACTGAAATCAGTGTTGAGAAGATGAAGAAGTTATCAGTTGTTTTATTGGCTGATATTTTTGAAAACAATGTTAGGCCTTTTCTCGTCCATATTTTATAAGAGTACACAACTAGCCTCAGACTCTACATTTACTTTTACTCTGGACAGCTAAACTTGCTTGTATTTTAGCATCAGGCTCATAAAGCCAGCAATGATTGGTGAGGTAAGCAATTAACTTAGCTGTAATGAAAATGCAGTGTAAGTCTAGGAAGTCTACTACTGTGATATTTACATATTGGTAATTGGTGACTATATGCATTGTACTTTTACAGTCAATCTGAAGTCAAAATATGCTGGGTCATATAAAGCATAGTATTGCATCATTTCATATCATTTAAAGGACAATATTCTTGTTTGTTCCTAATCTTCGATCAAAATGTAATAAATTTTGCCTGTTCTCAAAATGTCATCTGATTTTTTTGGTTACATCACATTGCACCAGTGGGTGGGTAAAGAATTATTAACCAATAATATCATGTTTCACCAACCTACCTATCATCGAGAGAAAATGCTCTGCTAGCTCAGAGACCCCCCGATACCGTGTTTCACTCAGAAATGCGCCACAGCACAGAACAAAAAGTCATTATGGTTTTCGATTCACATTAACATAAAGTTGTAGCTTATAATTTCAAGAGTGAACTGTTGGAGAGGTGACCTAAACACAGTATCACAGTGTATCCCATAGGGATTTTTCTTCTGAATTTCCTCTACCTTTTCAATGTCACTTTCAACGCTGCACAGCTGATTTAACACAATGATTAATATAGACCCATATTCCCATGCTGATGTGCTGCTAAAATTGAAGACGTTTATTGGGGTTTTGTTTCAGTTTCAATAGATGAAGTTGGGGGAAAATGAGAGAGAGAGAGAGAGAGAGAGAGAGGGTGGGTGGAGTGATAGAATACATGAAGGGCTGGCCAGTTTATGAGGCTTCACTTGTGTCAAATTTCCAGATTAAAATAGCCCATGAAATGATTATTCCTCGTCTCTCCCAGGGCGAGTTACGAGATGCTAATGGGCCGATTTTTCACCTCTGCCTTTTTTCACACTCTGTCTTGACATTTGAGTTTAATTTGAGTTACTGAGGGTTTAATATAGCACAGAAGCTGGGAGGCAGACGCCGAGTTGGGAAGTGAGCTCAGCTTCATCCGTGCAGCTTTGTCAGTTAACACATGGAACATTTATTAATGCATGATTGATAAAGGATCCATCTGCAGATTCTCAGTGTATATTTATGAGGAGCAGGGCTTCAGCAGGTGAAAAATTGAGTTGCAGGATTAATGTTATAGTGGTGCGCTGGTGGGTCTGACTACCTGAGGTTCAGAATGCTTATCCTTATCTTTGACTTATCCTTGCTCCACCCACAAATGCATTCTTTTGCATTTTCATTGTTTCCTTAGAGTTTTTTTGAGTGAAATGTGGTGGTTTCTTTAAAATGTATCAGGTTTCTTGTTCAAATATCAGTAGGAGGTCTATTCTTTCATAAGATTTCCCCAATGTTTGTTTTATACATTGGTTTCTATATCTAAAGTCATTATTATAAAAATAACTAACCTATTACATTAGAAACCAAAGCACACACTTCACTGAATTTACCTGTTTCAAATATGTTTATCATTTCCACAACAATAAAATATACTTCAGGAACACAGTTATTCCCAAAATTGAGTAAACTGAAACACACAACGTTATTGATGTAATATGTTTTATTCATATGAAAATAATATGCACATTTAAACCAAGTAAATTCAGTTAGGTGTTAAGAAGGGCTGATTGTGATCGCAGAAGTGCATGTATGTGATTTTGTGGGACTTTTCACCTGCTCCATCTCTAATGCAGTGCTGTTATTCCCTCTGATGTCTGTGCCCCATCCCACAACAGCACCCCAGGGTTCTCCGTTTGCCCGGGCCAGCGTGAAGAGCAGCAAGAACGAGAGCTCCTCGTACTTCCGGAGGAAAGAGAAGAGGATCCGCTTCTTCATCCGCCGCATGGTGAAGTCGCAGGGCTTCTATTGGACTGTGCTTTGCCTGGTGGGCTTGAACACACTGTGTGTGGCCATTGTGCACTACGAGCAGCCCGAGTGGCTCACCTATGCACTCTGTGAGTACACTGGAGACCCACTACATTCATTGTTCCCTGTAGCAGGTTACCAAATACTGATTCCCAATTCCAGACCACATGCTCTGTTTCTCCTGCTGTAACCAATTTTAGTCATGAAGAGATGAAGAGTTTGATAATTGTCTGCTGGTCTGAGCCAGGAAAAAATTCAATATTATTCAAATAAATAATTACAATTAAACACATTAATTATGTAGTTAATCACTGACTTTCAACTGACTTATTGCAAAGGTGTATATATATATTAGGGGTGGGAATCTCTAGGCACCTCACGATTCGATTCGATTACAATTCAGAGGGCTGCGATGCGATTATAAAATGATTATCGATGCATCTCGATGCATCTTTTTTTTCTATATAGCATTTATATTTTTCTCACTGTGTGAGCTCAAGTTTCGAGTTCAAGTATCAAGTTTATTTGTCATTTGCACCACATGTCAGGACATTTATGCAATGAAATGCTTGTGGTGAGGCTCAGCTAATCACTCTACAGAAAGTAAATAAGTAAAAATAAAAATAAAAGAAAAAACAACTGAAATATATTAAATATACACAAAATATACACAGAATATAGAGACAATATACATTTTAAAGTGACTAAGTAACTCGGTGTTATTGTTATGTAAAGTGACTTGGTACTTTTAAAGCAAGGTATTTGTAATGATCCCTCCTTTGAGATGGGTCGTGTGCAACATAGCGCGAAAGCCCTGTTTCGCAACGACTGAGGACCGGCGTGCAGACTGCAGGTCACATAGCAGCAATGGATTATTCGCATTTATAAGCAGCGCAGTTGGTTTCCTGGCAAGTTAAATCTGCAATGAGAGACTGTCACACACTACAAAGTGGCGAAGCTGAAGACAGCTTCTCTTTCAAATTCTCTCGTTCTCTGGAACGGGTAAATTCGAACAAGAAGCTGGAGAATAAGAAGCGACTTCAGCCTCGTAAAACAGTCGAACATTGAGAGACATTTAACTGATCTACTTCTGAGGAAAAGTTTTCTGGCGGAGATGGGAGGAAAGCGGCTACAGCTAAAGCTTAAAGCAGAGCGAAGTAAATCTGTGTTTTCGTTTATATTGTTTAGTCTATACTAGGACATTATAACATACTGAGACATACTAGACATTAAATGTTGCGGCTCCCAAGGTGGTTTGATTTATGTTAAGGGACAAAATGTCTCTTCTTATCATATGGGTTGTGACTCCTGACCTAACCTGGCTTTAATGCAGAGGGAGCCGGTCAGATTTCTCACTCATCGAGTTGTGTTTTTGTTGTGTGCCGCCACAGACTGTCCGGGCGCTGCACTTCCGCACTTCCAAGTTCCGCCTTTTGTGTTCTGTCAACATTACGTTATAAATTAAATATTTAGAAAATCGATTTTTGACATTTGTGAATCGATTCAGAATCATTCACGTCCGCATCGCAATACATCTAAGAATCGATTTTTTCCCACACCCCTAATATATATATATGTGTATATCACAAACACTGTCATACATCTTGTTCATACAGCTCATGGATTCTTCTGGCTCTTAACTAATAACTAATAATTTGATAGTCTGTTAGCTATGTCTTTGCCATAGATGTTTTGCCAAACTGAGGTAGCATCATGAAAAAAGTTTGAGCTCGTATTAGCTAACCTAGTTAGCTTTCAGTCATTCTGGCGAATTGTGCTAACGTTAGCAGTGTGAAACCTTGACTCAACTTAAATAAACTTAGATAAATTAGTTAAGAGCTTACTAATGTCTTTGCAGTGGTGGTTCTGATGAACTGATGAGATACATATGAGATTCTCATATAAACATTGACATTTGGCATATTCATGTAGTGGTCAGGAAGTACAACTCTTATAGTATAATATCACACTTTTGAAAGAATTTTGATTTAGTATGTAATACGCTGTGTGCCACCAGTACTCCACTGATGATTACAGATGGGTGCAAATAGCATACAGTTTTAGTGTAAATAGTATACATTACTATTAACAGAAGAGTGCATATAGCATATTCTTGATTATATTTTACATACTCTGTAATGTGTTTTACAGTTCATGCAAAGGTATTTTTATTGTAAGATCAAGCTGAAAAATTACCTTTTTTCATAGCCTTTTTCTTTTTCTTCTTTTCCTGTACTGAAAGTGTTTAAAGGGTGGTATATAAATTTATTTTATATGTAGTATATACATAAAGTCATTACATAAATTAAGTAATTATCATCATTACTAATGTATACTGTATTTATGGCTGCAGATTTGGCAGAGTTTGTGTTCCTGGGCTTGTTCTTGACTGAGATGAGTCTGAAGATGTACGGTCTTGGGCCCAGGAGCTACTTCCACTCCTCCTTCAACTGCTTTGACTTTGGGGTGGGTGGCTTTCCACAAACACTTTGTTGTAACATGACAAATATGCATTAAAGCACCAGGCCCTGCTGCTGTTGTCAGTGCCATTATTGCCTTGACCAGTAATGAAATGAATTATCTTAGTACTTTGACCTTTTAAACCCTAAGTATGTATGTTGCATGGGGTGGCCAGTAGCCTAATGGTAGGATATTGGCTGAGTCAGTAACCGGAAGGTCACAGTTTTAAATCCCAGGACTGATTCAGTATTCTTGGTTCTGCCCCGGGCAAAGCACTTAAACCCCAGTGCCCCAGGTGCTCTGCTGATGACAGTGTGCTGCTCCCAGACTGGGCATAATTCAGGTCAATAATGTATGACAACACACTTCGGTTTGTTTCACAACAATAGAACTTGCGTATTAGTCCTATATTCATACCAATTACTGAATAAAATTAATAACTGAATAATTAGCCTATGGTTTAAAAGGCTAACATGCATGTTCATGACTTTAGAATGAATGAGAATGTCTCTGTATTTTGTCTCTGTTTTATGCAGGTGATTGTGGGAAGCATTTTTGAGGTGATATGGGCCGCAGTTAAACCTGGCGCCTCTTTTGGCATCAGTGTGTTACGAGCTCTGCGTCTGCTAAGGATCTTCAAGGTTACAAAGTAAGAGAAGTGAAATACCTTGTATCATATTTCACACTGGATGCACAGTCATTTGAAAATGTTTGAGCACCCAAAGTCAAACTAGATGTTCTGATGATTTTCTAATTGCTAACAAGTTAACACACCCTCCACAGGGAACAAACATAAATGTGCCATTTGTTGAGTTTAACATAATGGAAAAAACAAAACATAAAATATTGTTTGTGCCAATCCTTTTGCCTTTTGCCTTTTGTTTCACTTACAAAATCAAAAAACATCTAATTTGACCAGTCCAAACTTAGACTACTTAGACTACTGCATAAAAGTGTACATTTCCAGTGTTCTCTGTTCATATTCTAATGCACTGATGATTTATTGTGTATTCTAAGACTCTTTCCAGACATATTTCCTTTCCTAAACAAAGTTATTCAGAATGCTGTATTGATTGACTGAAAGCATTCTCAGTGTGGTTTATGTGTGCGTGTCTGTGTGAAGGTATTGGAACTCCTTACGGAACTTGGTGGTTTCTCTGCTCAACTCTATGAAGTCCATCATCAGTCTGCTTTTCCTCCTCTTCCTCTTCATTGTGGTGTTTGCTCTGCTGGGGATGCAGCTCTTTGGGGGCCAGTGAGTATTAGGGCAGAGGTTTCCATTTTAGAAAGTGAATAAGTGCAGATTATATATACTAGGGCTGTGTGTGTGTATTTAGAGGACAGAGGCACTGTGCTGTGTTGTGTGTATATTTCTTCCCACAAATATGTTTGATTAATTTCTCCAGAATTCAGTAATTCATTCATTGACATGTTTACTAAGTCCCTCAGAGCACACTGTTCTAGGGAAATGTGCCAAGTCAGAGTTCTATACATTGGTGGTGATCAGAACCAGGGGTCACAATGTCTGCATGCAAATATAGGCATTTTATTTGCTATCCAAAATGACAAGTGAACTTACATGTGTCTTATGAGTTATTATATGCAATGTTGATTATGGTAAAAGAGTGATAAATCTAGGTTTGGATTCTATTTTGCCTTTTAATGTCCTGCATATTCCCCTGAACCCTGCATGTATTTAAAAAAAATGTTTTATGCCAAACAGGTATAGCAAAACTATCATAGAACAATGTCTCAGGCATAAGATTCATAACCATTTAGAGTAATAAACTCTTCAGACGTCCGGTTTCTATCTTTACATTTATGGCATTTGGCCGAGGCTTTTATCCAGAGCAACTTACAATTTAATCCTTTTCACAGAGATAGGCAAAGATAGTGTTAGGAGTCTTGCCCAAGGACTCTTACTGGTGTAGCGTATGGTGCTTGCCTGGGCAAGGGATCAAACCCCAGTCTGTAATGTGTAGGGCAGAGGTGTTACACACTGCACGATACCAACCACCTCTGTAAACACTTCTGACTCGGTAAGTTTTTCTAGAATGCCGTATTTCACATCAAACCACCCTCAGTGACTTTGTTTACATCTTAACGTTTCGTTTATGCAGAGATTTGGGAAAAAAGTGGAATTCCTCTTTAAAATGACAAACTTGTATTGTCGTCCCTTGACAAGGGAAAAAAAGTCACGCTCTACTAAAGTCACTCTCATCAGAAGCAACACTGACTCCTCCAGGGCCTGCCATTTCATTTTCCCCGCGCTTCACATTAACAAACATGCCAGTGTTGGAATGGAAGAGCGGAGGTTTTCATTTCTCTGTGCCATGAATTATTGATAGGCCTGTGTAACAGAGGAATTGGCTTCATGCACTCTCGCCACAAGGTAAATATCAGTTTAAACGCGTAAACATCCAGTCATACGATCCAGAGTACCGATCGCTGAGTTGCATAAACAAATACTTTGCACAAATGTTTTTGAAACGAGGCTGAGAGAGACACGGGCTGAAGCCTCAGGACACTCAATTTTCCCCTGCTGATGGGACAGGCAGGAGATTTCCCTGGAATTCCAATGCAGGGCTTAGTGAGATAGAAAAGTGCTTTTGTCTTGCTGAATTTTGAGCTCTGTTGAGCTTGAATATGTTCAGAGGTGGATGAACCTAAAGCATCATGTTTTTTTTTTACCATCAACTGAGATTAAGGAATGAGACGTGGTACTTGTCCAAAATGACATGATGTATGTGATATACTCTTCAGAGTGCATAAAACCCCAGCAGTGCTGCTCTATGTGATACACTCGTACCACCATGAAACACATTACCATACTACCAAGATGGTAAGTCTATGGTGGTCCGCCATCCAAGTAAAATCTGTTCAGCGGCGGTTCTATGGTGGTACCTTCCCATTGAGAAATGAAATAGAAGATTAGGAATTCCACCACTTTCCAAATTTCTGCATAAACCTGTAGTTGAGTTGTTCTGATGTGAAATAGTTTATTGTGGAGAAACATGCCAACTTGGATTTCCTTACAGTGGTGCTGATAGAAACCAGAGGTTGCAGTGTTAACACAAATATAGCCATTTTATTTATTATCAAAAACTATCAGTGAACCTACATGTGTCTTCTGAGTCTTTATGTGTATTATGTGAAGGTTATATGTGAAGGTTATATCTGACATTTTGAGTCAGTTGATTCACATATTCTTATTCTTAACTTTATGTGAGATGTTTGTTTGAGTTCTATGCATTTTTGGACTGTTTTATCTAGAAAACAAAAAAGTTATATGTCCGAAGTCAAACTCTAACTTAGTTCTATAAGTATCTATCTGCCAGCCAATCAGCACTTTCAGTACAAACAAGAGGACCAATCAGGTTCTGCCTCTTTATCATGTCGTCGCACTGCTCAGTGACTGCTGGAAAAGTTTCTAAAACTTGAAAACATGAAAACATGTTGCTGAAACTCTGCCTGCCTTCTTGTAGTTTTTTCAAAAAGTCTTATTGTCTTAATTTTTATAATTTGCTATTTGGAATGCAAAATCTTTAAGCTCAATATTTAGAATGCAGGTAGAACCTTGTAATTCCAAGGGAACGGTATACCTCCCCACCATGATCTGATTAAAAAATGCTTTAGGCCAAAATCTTTTCTCGAAACTATCGTAAAACAATGTCTCTGGCATCAGGTAACATATTCTTCACCAGTTTAAGTAATTACTTTCTGTGAGGTAGCCTTTAGAGACATTAAACTCTTTGGTTGTCTGATTCCTTTCCCTATTCCTTACTTGGTAAGAAGAGAGCATTTTACATCAAACCTCTTAAAATTTTTACATCTTAATGGTTTACTTTTGTAAAAGTAAAAACAAATGGTGCAATTCCCCTTTAATGGTGTCTAACTAAAGATGGGCTACAGTCTGTAATTATATGGTAGATGTTTCTGATAAAATGGCCACTAATTGTAGGTAATAAATTAATAAATTGTAATCTCTCAGGCTGCAGTTCTCAGGCTTCTCCAGAGTCTGTCCCATAGACATAAGAAACAGTGTGAAGTGTAAGCTACCTATTCTGCTTTATCCTTTTAACATATTGTCAAATATATTCTATTTATTCTAGATACATAGAAGTATGAAAGCACAGAACTTACTGACTGAACAGTAAATTAACTCAGATTTTACAGGTTTCATAATCATTATTATATTTAAGGAAGAATTCAGATCTTTTTTTATCTCTTATTAAAATAATGAAGGCTAACACATTCAGCTGCTTCCCCCATTTACTCACTGGAAAAAAAGGGTAGGTTCATTGCCAAGGAGTACGTCTTTTCCTAGAGAATCAGAAAAAAATCTCATTTTCTTCCCTCCTGTTCTGCTCTTTCTTTAGCCTTGTAATTAGGTCCCTATAGAGAGAATGCAGAAGTACAGGGCGGTGGGAGTTAGATTGGATTGTAGGATGAGGATTTGTGCATGTTTATTCCAGAAGCAATTGCACATTCAGGAGACAGTGCTCATTTGTGCTTTTTATGCATACGGGAATAAACAGCAGACAGAAAAAAACTGTATGAATGTCTTTGTTTCACAGGTTGCAGTACTGTACTGTATGTAACCAGAGTAATGCAGTCAGTGTCATGTTTGTAAATTAGTTTTAATTATTTCAGGATTAAAGTGGGGTAGACTGGAAGAGCTTATTTTGTCTTTATCTTTTGGGACCTGAAAGGCAGTTACTTCTACATGATTTTGAGTTAGACACAACTCTTAGCCTAAAGGGAAAGAGGCTGCTGTACAGGGGTCTAAGCAAAGACATGTAACTTATAATGGAAAAAATGTCTAGGGTGCATCTGTAGAGGTCGTTATCACTGACAATAACAAAAGCGTTCTGTAGTTTTATATTTTTCTACTTCTCTCCTGTAGCTGAGTGGATCAATCATAAAGTTCTGTTAACATGCAAATTCTTAACTTTCAGTCGACACCACATTTGTGTTCTTAAATAGATAAGGAGATATTAAGATTAAGTTATTGTTGTGTGTACAGTATTGTTGTGCAGAAAGAACATCCAGGCTTTACATTTTTGCTTGTGTTTGTCATTTGTTGACATTGAAAATTGCAGATCTGTGGATACAAATTGCAAATCTAATTTATTATACAACTTACTGTGTAATTAAATATGTAATTACATAATTACATTTCAGTAGTATAACAAAATGATAGTAATAACTTTTAACTTAATCCAGATGCCCATTATACTACCTTACTTGCTTCTTGCATTTGATCAGCAAACTATTCCACAGTTAAAAACTGACTCATTGTTTTTGTCTTGTAGGTTTAACTTTGAAGAAGAAACCCCAACGACAAACTTCGATACATTTCCAGCTGCCATTCTGACAGTATTCCAGGTAAAGTTGATTCTGTATAGTTTCTTGTTGGCACTTTGGGTCTGGTGAGGCCTGCAGATGCACAGCTACCTTACTTGTTGTTATAGATTCTGACAGGAGAAGACTGGAATGCAGTGATGTATCATGGGATTGAATCTCAGGGAGGAGTAAAGCGTGGGATGTTCTCTTCTGTGTACTTCATCGTCCTCACTCTGTTCGGAAACTGTATCCTACTCTGAGATCACTCTGGGAAAAGTACTGAATAACACTGTAAAGCTCCAGAGCAAAAGACTTGGATTGTTTGGATGGCATCTTTGTAAAACTGTGTGCTAAATGTGTCTAAATCTTATTACTTTAACATGTCTGATCAGACACTCTCCTCAATGTGTTCTTGGCCATTGCTGTTGATAACCTCGCCAATGCACAGGAACTCACTAAGGTAGCTCACACACATACACACACACACACATCCTCTGACACTCTTTCACAGTGTACCAGCACTCTGTCACTACGCAGGCACACCATGAATCTCCTCCTTGCGAGTTGTGTATGCTGGATTAAAGAGGGAGCGATCCTATCTCTATACCCTGCCATACACTGCTGCCCTTTATTGAGTCCATAACACTGTCTGGAAGGGCTGTTCACCATTGAATGATGCTTGTTTCGTTCAGTAACTCAAGGTAATAGAGCTCTGCATTGCTAGCAGGGTTTGAGGGTTTACATTAATACTGTAATATCACAGGAACACACACACACACAAACATCATGGAACCAGTTTAAAATTACTTGTGCTTTGTCACAAGATGCATTGATACATTTATCCTGCTGGACATAGCCATTAGAAGATAGGTCAGTTGTGGGCATAAAAGGATGCACATGGTAAGCAACAGTATTTAGATAGACTGGCAGTCAAACAGTAATGCTCGATTAGTATTAGGGGCCAAGAATGTGTGCCAAGAAAACATTTCCCAAATCATTACACCACCAGCAGCTTGAATTGTTGACGTCAAGCAGGTTAGGTCCATGGATATTTACTGTTTGCACCAAATTCTGACCCTACCGTCTGCGTGTAGCAACAGAAATTGAGATACATGAGACCAGGTGACATTTTACCAACCTTTCTGTTCGTGGCTAACAGGAGTGGAATCTGATAAAGTCTTCTGCTGTTGTAGCCCATCTGCCTCAAGGTTTGACATGTTGTGAGTTCTGATTACCACTGCTGTAAAGAGTGGTTATCGTAGCTTTCCTGTCAGGTGGAGCAAATCTGGTCATTCCCGTCTGACCGCTCTCATCAGCGAGGTGTTTCCACTCACAGAACTGCTGGTCAATGGATGTTTTGTTTGATGTGAACAATAACTGAAACTCTTGATCCATGTCTGCATGGCAAACGACTTTGCTTGTTGCAAATCATTTATATTTATATATTATTACTTATACACTGTGTATCCCACAAAGTGTAGTGTATTGTTCATATTAATGCTTTGGGACGTCCCGGTTTTGATTTGCTGATGACAGTTGTAACACAGTAATGCTTTCTCTGGGTCTTTTGTTTCTATCAGGACGAGGAGGAACAGGAAGAGGCTATCAGTAAGAAGTTGGCCCTGCAGAAAGCTAAAGAGGTGAAGGAAGTCAGCCCCATGTCAGCCGCTAACATCTCTCTCACAGCGTAAGTGTGGGGGAATTTACACCCCAGTGCAGTTAGATCACACCACTTACAACCTTCCTTTTTCTTTCCCCTGTTAATGTTTATGTTGTTTTTGTCTGTGTATGTTTTATGTATGTTTTTAATCCCATTTGTGCTGAATTCTTTAATATTGTATGTATGTGTAAGTGTGTGTGGAATGTACACTGTAAGTTTGTGTCTGTGTGTGTCTGCACACGTACACTCGTGCGTGTTTTGTTTGAGTTATTTACGTGAATATTTCTGTCCCCACTGAATAGCATGCATATTTTAGCAGTTGAATGGATCAGACCATGTGCAGTTTAGACAGTGCAGCGTGTGTAGATCCTGACTGATATGTTTGAGAGATGACAGAATGACAGAAGAGCCTATTGCAAAGGGAAAAACAGATTGAGGAGCACATTAGGCAAGTAGTTAGTTCTCTGTATGGGACATTTAAGTTTATTTCTTATGATACAGTCCTTGGTAATATGAGCTGCCTGGTTAAATAGCTGCCATTGTGTCCTTTTATTGCAATAAAACAGTAATGCATCTGTCCTTGACATAGAATATCAGTTAACCTAACAAATTGCATTATATTATAAATTTTCAATCGCTCTTAACTGAGCATTAGCCTAAAAGGCTCAAGAGTTGAATCTAAATCTGATAGTTAAACTGAAATAACTGTCACGGTATTCTGGCTAATTTGTTTTACTGTAACAATCTTTATTGTGATAAAATTATGATTTTTGTTTTAAAATATGTCAATGACATTTACATTTTGACATTTCTTTGCTTGATTTGGTATCAGTTTGGAACTCTGTTCTGAATTATCTGTTCATTTACAACTCATTTATCCTTCTCATGGAGACCATTCGAAATGGTCAGTTCTTGAACCATAATTAAGCTGCTTATGTCTGAAGGATAAATGTCTTTGTAAATAATATGTAAACCTTTCTGTTGAAATCTGGCATGACTTAGTTGAAACTGTTACTCCCATTGAGTTGACCTCTGTGGGGTGTGGCCAGAGTCAGTGTGACTGAGAGCTCCACTGTCTCAAGGCCCACCCACTGTTTCTTTCCCCTCCCATCTTTTGTTTTTGTTTTGTTTGATTTGGTTTGGTTTATGCAGTTTTATAAGGCCAAATGGAGGTGCACTGTCACACAGCTCCTCCCACTCCGGCTCTGATTCACCGTGAGTTTCTTTACTCTGCTACAGCCTGCTCCTTCATTTCCTGTCCTTTATTCCACGCACACCCACTGCACCGTGTCGCTCCATCTCCACTCACTTTAAATGTATACCAAATCAGAACTTTGAATGTGCTTCATTATGAATTTGTATATTACATGATAGTACAGTATATTCAAGCTCATATGCATGTCCATTCTGTGGTGAAGGAATTTTGAGAGCAATAATTTTGTGTTATTAGATATTATATTAGTGTGATGTAGGACCGGCCTGAATACTGTGAAACTCAATTTATTTGTTGTTATTTATTTGATTCTGTTTTTAGTATTCCGAAGGTTTGTGTTTTTTTCAAGCCACAAAAAATTTATAAACAACATTGCCTACAACACATTTAATTTGAAAAGGCCTTTAAAAAGAACAGTTATTGTTTATATATGTAAAAACTAAAAAAAATATCAGATTTGGTTAAGATACCTCAGAAATTTATACTAGGCACCCATGTCACCTAGTCTCATAGTGCAAGAAGCTGCACTGTTTTCCAAGTGGCTATTGAAGCCAAAAGAGCAAAAACGCACGAATTATCTCAGATATGTGACTATAGTGATACTTATCTGAGTGCCACTAGGCCCTGGTGAGGGCAGTGCTAAAATTAGGAGATGAGAGCCCCCAAACCTTGTTGTGGTGAATTCTGGCAGTGAATTAGGAAGAGAACACCGGCGCTGCTGCTGTTGTGGTTGCTCTCAGGCAGAGATGTTTGGCATGGAGGCAAGGTTCAAAGAGAGCTACACTGTGGAGTAGAAGTAAAGAGTTTTAGTGGTCCAATTGCATTGCAGTGAATCCTCTCAGCTTGCTGCTGGGTCCAGGAAGACAGGCTGCACAAGCTGAGCAGGGTACCTGCCCTGCATCTTTCGGGGCTGGTCATCTTTGCATTCATATAGACCTATGGCCTTGATCCTCTGCTATAATCGCTGTAGCTCACGTATGACTGAGCTCGACTGGGCCCACTTTTTGCCTTCAGCTCTGCTTTCTGTGATAAAAAATGACAAACTAGCCTAATAATTATAACTAAATAAGAACAGCTTACTAAAACCATGATGGTGATAAATGACACAATATTCCCTAATTCGTTACACCCTTAGTGTCTATGTGACTCATAAAAGCTGTATTTGAACAAGAGGGCTACTATTGCAGCTGCTGTAGAGAAATACAGCACGCAAGAAGCTTCAGCCTTACTAGTAATACACTGTTGCCGCCTCCTGAATATATTTTGAACTGCAGTAGCAAACAAAAACTATTTTTATTCTGTGAGATTTTGGGTACTCGTTTGGTAATACCAAAGAATATCTGAAGCCTAAAAATTGTTGTTGGGGCCAGCCCTAGTGTGATTCATTCTGATTGAGTATGTTTATTCCCTCTTTTCAATGTAAGTGACTTTTCATGGTTTGTTAGTCTGAATGGAATCAATCTGCTTTAGCTTTTTTTAGATGTTTAGCTGTGAGAGCACTGTGCTTTGGTTTAAGGAATAGTTTATCAAAAAATTTCCCCAAAACAAAACTATGGACAAAATTCTGGCTTCAAGATGACATGAAGATGATATGCTTTTAGCTATGTAAATGTCCATTTTTATGGATAATGTGTCATAACAATGACAGAAAACATATAAGCAAGTCAGCTGATTGACTACACTAGAGCTAAGGAGAAAACTGTCAATTTTGCTGACCTCAGTGGACTGGATGCAGCAATGTATGTACGTAAGGCTGTTAGCTGATGTGTTAGCAGTGAGGTTTAGCTGTTGTTTCTCTGCTGCTCCATATTAGCTGTTTTCAGTTAGCTGGAAGGGCCATGTGTTGATGGTTAGCTGCTAGCCTGGCGCTGTAACTGGCAGTGTCCTGTGTTCTCAGAGCCAGCTGTCTGTATGTGAATGAGTGTCACTACTAGAGCTGCTGCTGCTGCTCCTACTGCTGCTGATGCCCAGTGAGTCAGCACTTCTGCCAGCCAAGCCCTGGAGTGCCCACCATCTGCGAACACACATACACACAGAAACACACTGTCATTCTTTCAGCTGTGCTAACTCTAAGAGTAAGGTGGTGGGATTAGATTTATTCACAGCAGACCCTGTGGCCTGTTGGTTTGCATTAGATTTACTGGAACAATTTGTGTTGTTTTTATCTTTGCTCATATTATTCTAGTAAAATATTATCTCTATGATGCCGCTGAACATTCAAAAACAAGACCCAAATGTTAACCAACAGAACTTACGGTTCTAGTTTTTTTTCATTTTCATGGAACTATAATATTTTAATCCCACTCTATAGTCTAATTTGGTTAATTAGCTACCTTGCCTGCTAGTTAGCTAAACTTAATGGCTAGCCGCTCACTATAGCTTAAAACTTGTACTGACAGATATTTGTCAAATAGACAGACAAATGTCTACAGTAACACAGAATCACATGTAGAATCAGAAAGATCTTATATTTTTGTTTCACATGACCATAAGAACAAAGACACTTTTCCTATGGAGGCTAGAATAAGTGCTAGTAGTATAAGCTTCTTAGCTAGCTTGACACCTCAGTGAAATCTTTACGAAGTAATAACTCTAAACATAATAACTGATACATCAACACACCATTCTAGTTCACATTCTGGTGCATGTATTTGTGATATAAAAGTGCTTGGTGGCTTTATCTTCACTGAAAAGAGCAGAGAATTCACTAAATTGTCATTGGCTTCAGCTACCAAAGACAGAGGAGAGAACCCTCGAGTACCATTAGGTCCTGAGCAGGTATCAAAAACCGTTTAACTGGAACCTTCGTAACTGGACTAATGGCCAGTAGAAAAAGCATGGTTCCAGTTTTCTGGTGTCAAAGGTTCTGGTGCTTTGTGCAGTGGAACCGACCCAAGTAATCTGGCATTCATTTTAGACTGCTTCATCTTTATTGACTCAACAGAGCAAGAAGATAAGAGTGATTATGTGTTACCAACACCCTGAATGTGTCTGCTTTAATTTCTTTCATTTCTGTCATATTAGTTTGTGTGTTTTGAAATTTTTATGTTGCTTTGTTGTTGTCCTCTGTCTTTCTGTATACTGCTCTGTATTTTCCCTGTTAATTGTCTCTGTCTTGTAACCTTTTGTATGTGGCGATGTGGGAGCTACCGTGTGTCTGTGTATTTTTGACTGTGTGCCCCTGTATGTGTTTTAGGAGTTATGTCTGCTCCCCTGCCCATCACTACTTGAGGTAATGGTACTGTGTAGGACCTGGGACTTACCTACATTCTTAAATCTGTATTGTGTATCTATAAGCCATACGTACCAGCATTGTACTCTTCATCGTGTTTGGTGTATTGGTGCATACTGGAGTTAAATTAGTTCACCCATCTTTCATTTTTCTGCATCTGAAACCCCCTCTTTTGTGTATTATAATGTTAAAACTGTCAGTTTAATGGGGTTTAAGCAGAGGTAAGTTAAGATGACTTGATTCCCTTGGTTGCTATTCATTCATGCAGGGAGACTAAAATTACTACTTTTTTGTAATGATGCCTAGGGTTTGATTACAGCTAAATGGTTTGATAAAGAGGCTACGCTGAGTTTGAAACAAAATGCATTTAAATTAAGTTCACTTGACTTGCTAAATTAGGTCTTGATATTACCACAGAGTTGAATAAAATGACAATTTGTATTTAAAAAAAAACAACATCTCATTGTTTATTATAAAATTCAATTTTAGCCAATTATAGAGCTATCAAACTGTCACACCAGCATGAAAACCATCTCAGATCAAAGTTTCACCAATTCCCCAGCACACTTCTGACTGAAATATCCCTACCAAAGCACCCAAGTTACCGCCTTTGTAGACCTGTTATGAATGGCAACAGCAATGGGATTACCAAGAACTTTCAATGGAGAAGTTTGCTGTGGAAGAAGATACAATTCCAGGGTTTCATCAAAGCAGGCTTAGTCATGTATGCCTCTCCCTAAAAGTCATGATCCATAGGCATCTAATATTGTGTTTGGGATGCATGGTCCAACTTTGGTCAGTCATAGTCCACAAACATTAGCAGACCGGATGCAGCATGTCCAGTCACGGTTGACTGACTTATGTAATTTGACATCCATAAAGACCTTCTTTTCTCTCCCTCTCTTCTCTTTCTCTCTCTCTCACACAAACACAACAGCCCAGAAGGGAGCATATGCTTTTTCATAGTTTTTGGATAGTTTTAACACAACAAAGCATGGCTCTGTTATTGTGCTAATTAGATGTAGTGTAGTTTATGGCATTAATGAAACACAATGCAATAAGACACATAAAGCAGGAAAGGACTTTTAATTGGAGGAAAAATCACATTGTATATTCACTTAGAAGTCTAGTCTTATTATTGTCATTAAGCTGTTCATTTTCACATAATTATTAAATTGAAATTCCTCTTGTATTTGGTATGGACTGAAATCCACACTTCTGGCAGAAGTCCAACAAAATGCTTGTTTCAGTGAACTGTGAGTGAGAATATGAAAGAAGCATTTCAAGGCATTTCATTGGGGAGCCTAAGAGAGTAAAAGGTGGTCTTGACATGGATGGAGAAAAACGAAAAAAAGTCATTTCTTCCCCCAGAATGTGTTTGATTGATTAATATCCCTGTTCTCTCACTAATTTTATCTTTATGAACATCATTATTTAAATGCTAAACCTTTCTTCCTTGATTTTTTTGCCTTTCCAGTAAAGAGCAGCGGCGCTCTTTGAAGATGATGTCCGTGTGGGAGCAGCGCACCGCACAGATCCGTAAGCACATGCGGGCCAGCAGTGAGGCGCTCTACTCTGAGGAGCTCAGCCCCCGTCTGGCCTCCAGCCAGCACCTGCGCCCTGACCTTACCACCCACCTTGACCGGCCACTGGTGGTGGAGCCGCGCTGCTGGGATGAGCCCAGGAACATGCAGGGCCAGGCCGGGACACCTCAGGATGCCCCTGATCCCCCCATGATGGAGCCTCCGCAGTCACACCTGCCCCGGAAGCACCACCGGCGACGGGAGCGTCAATCTGATGAAACGCAGGAGAACGGAGAGACGACAGGAAACTCACAGGAAGGCCGGCGCCACATCCACCACAGCCGCAGCAGCAAAGAGCCCGAGGGCACACACTGCAAAGAGGGCAAAGGGGAGCGCAGCCACAGTCGTGACGGGGCACGCAGGCACCACCACCAGCAGGGGTCAACAGAGGAGGGCAGGAGTGGAGAGAGGGAACACAGACACCACCATTCGCATAGAACTAGCCGAGAGGGTAACGGCGTCCTGAGCAGTGGTGGTAGGAGTGAGAGACGCTCCCATCATAGAGACGGATCACGCTCAGGGATGCGGGAGGGAGAGAGGCGTGGGGAGGACGGAGTAAACGGGGGAAGGAGGAGGCACCGGCAGAGAGCAGGCAGGGCCCAGTCCACACTGGATGGTGAAGAGCAGAGGGAAAACGGGCAGATGGAGGAGGGCAAGTCTCCAGGACACAGGTAACAACTGTTGTTAAAGTACTTTCTCCCTTTTGTCCTTTAAGAAGGAAGGAATAAACACCGCAGTTTGTAACTGCAGAGAACCTTAGTGGGTCAGAATTGTTCACATTGTTGGTGATAGAAACCAGAATGTTTGATGCCTTAAAGTTACCTCACATAAAGGTTTTACATGAAATGGTTATGAATATGGTGGCTGATGCCTGAGACATTGTTTTACAATAGTTTTGAAAAACCGAAACATATTTCTTTAAATCAATTTGTGGCAAATAGGCACAGGTACAAATGGTGTTGTAAATCCTGTAAGTGCCTCTTGTAGTCTTCTTTTTTCAGATTTACCATTATTTTACCATTATCAACATTACATATAAAACCTCAGAAGACTTGTGTAGGTTCATTGGTAGTTTCGGATAGTAAATAAAGTTGCTATTTTTGCTCTGCAGATGTTGTGACCTCTGATTCCTATTACCACCATTGTAAGAAAAAAATGTTGGTAATTTTCTCTACAATTAACTGTTTCACATTAGTCTACTCTGGATGACTTTCTGTACATCTCAACAACTGAATTATAGGTTTTTACTATGTTTTTTGGCATAACAATTCTGAATTTAAAGCAGCTTCAATATCAAGTCTGAGGGTTTTTTGTTAAACAAGTAGCTGCCCAAATAGGAGAGCTGATTCCATAGCTGAGGCTATTGCTGTCTTCATGTTCTTTCAGATGGGCTATTTTGTACTTGTGAAGTCGTAATTACAAAGTCTTTGTGTTCAAGTGCTTTGTAGTTGGATACAGATCTTCCTAACATTTTCCTCCATTATAAAAATTTACAAATCGCACCAGTCAGTTGCAAATGTAAGCAATGTATATATATATATATATATATATATATATATATATATAGTATATTTAGAAAAATAAAAAAACTACCAACCTTCATCCACTGAAACCATCCTTTCCACCATCATGATGAAAGGGTAAGGATCAGTAACAGGGTGTAGACTCGGATATCAGTAATGTTTCTGAAGTTTCCACTTGAAGGGACATTGATGTGCAGCATATAGGTTGTAATCCAATAAAATAATGCTTTGCAGTAAAATAAAGCTCTGCTGAGTGTTCTAACACAGTTCTAACACAGTTTTAACAATAAAGGGCCTTAAGTGTTGGAATTAATGTGTAACTAGCTAATTCACCAACCTTTAACCCTGAAGATTGGTGTGCAGACTACTGGTCACATAGCAATGCAGGCAACAGTCTCGCCTAGCTATCAGCTAACAAAGTAGCAAAGAAGAGAAAGATTCATTTGCATTTATGTGCACTCCTGCTGGCTTCATGATATGTTTAATCTGCAACAAGAAACTGTCAACCACCAGAAAGTCAAACATTGAGAGATATTTTACAAGAAACCATTGTAATTTTGTGGAAAAGTATCCTGCCAGAGATGCAAGAAAAGCATATAGCTAGGCTAAAGCTCAAAGCAGAGCGAAGTAAGTCTGCCTTTTCCTTTATATTATATTTTTTAGCCAATGCTAGGACATTAGCATGTACTAAGACTTATGCACAGCCAAGATGTTAATACCAATAACATAGACAAAACATGTTGTGGCTCCCAAGGTGGTTTCATTTTTGTTGAAAATGACTTTTCTTAATATTTGCATTCCTGACCCCTGGTCTAGATAGTACTGTTGCCTGGAAATGGAAGCTCCATATTGTATGACTGAACTTAAATTTACTCCTGAAGGCATACAGAAATGGGCGGAGATTCTCTAGCAGCCACACCTCAGCAGCCTGCTGTGGGGAATAGGTGGGATCTGGAGAAACCAGAGGATTCAGACAACCAGAGGAACGTCAGCCGCACAGGGGGTCTGGGAGTCCACATACCGGTCACCATCACCTCTCCACCAGGGGAGACCACTCTCATACCCAGTAAGCACTGCTCATAATAACCCTGCTAAATAGTGCAGCCAGAGTGATCTTTTGGTACAGATCTATGGTTCACACCTGGTCTCCTAAATGTAAGGTGCATCTGCTTGTCTCAGTGAACAGTATTGACAGTGAGACTGTGCCCATGACGGAGAAGAACCTGGAGGAGGTGAACCAGAGCAGCCCTCGGCCCATCCTGCCCTACAGCTCCATGTTCATCTTCAGCCAGACTAACCCGTGAGTATATGTGTGCATGTGAGCAAGACTTAGGGTTCTTCAGTCATGCACTACTGCTCTAAGCTAGCCACTGGCAATGTACCAAGACTGTTTCTTGTACATACATTTTTCATCATTGCGCTTAAGGATCATAGCAGAGAAAGACTGCAGCGTGTCTATGTTTGGTTTTTGTGCATTTACATTTAGGATTTTGAAGCAAAACAGGGAAAAATAGAGATGATTTTCAGGACCAATGAAATTGTCTTTTTTAAAATAAAAAAATACTTTTTTTATTTTACTTACTGAGGTTAAGGCTAAGGTTAGGTTAAGGTTAAAGTCAGAGAGCACCCTTTATTTATTTAATTACTATCCAAAATGGCCAGTAAGTTATTAATGTTTTTTGGCATCAGGAAAAACACATTCAGTGACGTTGAGGTCTCCACTCTGGGTTGGTCAGTATATTGTTCTGAGAACACCAGCAGCCTCTTTGTTTGATTCTTATTTTTCGTCTGTTTCCTTTTCTCAGTAACATCTTCTTGACACGTATCCTTTCAGACTCATAGCGCTGAATTGTCTTCTCACAGTGCAAGGATGCACAGAAACACTTGTGGATTTTTTCAGAACTAAAGCAAGAGTGGAGCTTAGTTTTCTCCTGTCTCTTGAGGATGAATCTGATGGTGACAGTTTTGGTGGTCCCAGGTTTGGCACAGTTTTTAGGAGTCCCTATTGTCTATATCTGTTAATATTTTTAACTCCAGTTTCAGAAACTTCTTAACTTTCCTATTCATTATACAAGTGGATTATCTTAATTCTAGTTACCTCAGAATATCTCTTGACGAGTGAAAAACTCATACTTGGTGCCTATTTAAACTGGAAGTTAAATAAATGAAAGGTGGTCTCTGACTTTTACACAGCATTGTGTGTATATACATGTATATATGTATGTATACACACATAGTGACATTGTTTAAAAACTGTATGTGTTTCAGATATTCATTCAAAACTCTTTGTTTAAAGTCTACGTTCTGTCCGCTCTCTGCTGGCACTTGGCCATAAATGCCCATAAACAGACAAACAGACAGACAAACAACAAACAAATTCAGAGTCCATAAAGCCTTGCCTGCCTGTCAGTGTAGAGAATACAGTTTGAGTTATAAGTTTTATTTATGGGTTATATGTGTGGATCTCCCCGTTCTCTATCTTAAAAACTCTATGTGCATGTGTGTTTGTGTGTTATTCAGTATGCTAACCCCATGGAAATGGTATTGGCAGTGCTTTAAAAGCAGACTCTGTTCAAGCAAACTCTGTAATCTTGAATGTGATATTCAATACAGTGCCTTGTGGTCATGATATAACATATTAAATGCTGCTCCAGTTTCCCTCTCATTTCATCATGTTCTGTGTATGTATGTGAGTACAGGGTGAGGCGTCTGTGTCACTACATAGTCAGTCTGCGCTACTTTGAGATGTGTATCTTGGTGGTAATAGCCATGAGCAGCATTGCTCTGGCTGCGGAAGACCCAGTCCAGGCCAACGCCCCTCGCAACAATGTGAGTTTATCTCCACTCACTGTCTCTGTTAATGCTTCCAATAATATGGCCCTGTCCGGTGGTTATGAGCCCTGGTTCTGGAGATCTGTCTTGTTTTGAATTCTAGTTCCAAACACCTCTTCAGAACCACTTGTGTACATCTTCAGAAGTTCTTGATAGTAGTAGCATTAGGTGAGGGGTGGGGAGATGTTAAACACTGCAGGAAAATGCTTGGTGACCACTGGCATAGTCGCATTACACATCCGCCCAAGTCAAATCTAGTCAGTCACTTAATAATTCATCTTAATTATTGTTTTTTTATTCAACAGTAACTTATACAGAGCAGATTTAAAGATTGTAAACTAGAAACCAAAAGGTTTTCTTAGATGTTTTATTGAGTATTTGGAGTATTTTGAGAACACCAAGACACTTTTAATGTCTTTAATATATTTAGCTGTACTATATGTACAGAAAATTTTGTCAAGTAATCTGCCTTGAGATTTGGTCACCATGCTTCATTTATGAGGCATTTTGCATATTAATTTTATCATAACTTCATTCTCAATGACAGCTTTCCCAGTTATTATGGAATCATCTACAGCTTCATTTGCCATTCTTGACACATGTAAAAAATTTTCACAGCCCGGTGCTGAAGTTGTAGAGTGCTAATGTCATATTAGAATAATTTTTAGAAATTTATCTACAAGCACTTTTTATTTTATTTTGAAAACAGTGATTTCAAACGTCTTGTCTTTTTAAAAGGTGCTGAAGTATTTGGACTACGTCTTCACTGGTGTGTTCACATTCGAAATGGTGATTAAGGTGAGTTCTGGCTTAGTTACAGTTTTAGGCAGCGTTAGAAGCAGGTGGTTATTAATGTGATCTCGCAGGAGACGTTCCTTAAATGTGCTGTGCTATATTTGGTTGACACTGATATGACTGTCTGATGTCACTTTCCCTTCAGCAATGACGTTTTTAGGTTACCATCCCTCTCCTTCACCCAGATTTCATGAATTAATTACCAGTCAAAGCCCGTAGCGTATTATTCATATTTCAAAAAGGACGAGTGAGGCTAAGTTTACTAAAAATTCAGTGTTCTAACATTTCTTTTTCCTGCCTTCCAAGATGGTGGATTTAGGCTTGCTGTTACACCCGGGCTCATACTTCAGAGACCTGTGGAATATTCTGGACTTCATTGTGGTCAGTGGAGCTCTGGTGGCGTTTGCGTTCTCGTAAGTAAAATTTGGGTCAGCATTTCTTTAGACTTTTCAAAGATGGTCAGAGCTAAGTTTTAAATGTTGTGAACAATTTGAATAGGTTGCATTTCCACAGAAAGATTCCCCGCAGATAGACTTATGCAGCGATATGCATTGTTTCTTGCAGCCAGACCAGTGTCTCTTTGTTTACCGTAATTGTACAGTTCCCCAGTCAGACGTTTGATGTGTGCTAAATTCCTCCCATTCATCAAGCAGGCTGCCGAGCGCAGCAGAAAAGCGCCGAGTAAGAGTTTCGCCAACTCCTGCTGTTCCACTTTCCTCACTATCAACTGCTCAGAGGTCAATTGCACCCATTTCATTACAAGAACACAGTTTAGTCTCCCTTTGGTTCTTCATTAGTGTGTGCGCGTCCATTTCTGGGTGTTGATCTGAGCTTAACTTGAACAGTAATTTGCAGCTTTAACTGTACTCCCATGGGCATTAGAGAAATGTGCAATTAGATATTTTGTAAACAAAATAATGCTTAGAGCATTTCCTGAGCATGCAAACGTGCTAATATGTGTTCAAATTGCAGGTAACATTGAGAACAAATGGATGGCCTGTTCTGAAGTGTCAGGACTTGTGGTGTAAAAATGCTTCACCAGTTTGAAGGTGTAAAAATAGAGCTACATCAATTCTGGACTATTTGAATTGAATATAGACAATGAATGTTAATAATATTAGTCAAATGAATGAATATTTGTATTCCAATAAATGTTGGCCAAAAATAAAATTATAGGCTATTTTTACACAAAAATATATTGTTTATATTGTCTGTATTCTACTACAGTGTGAATAGTTCCTACTAATGCTGGCAGTATACTTCAAACAACAAGAGAACTAAACAAAATCAAACTACTGCAGAACTCGCTGTTGTAAATGTACTTTAACCCTTCTGTGGTGTTGGGGTCTGTGGGATTCATTTTCAGTGTTTACCAAAAAAAGCTCAGATTCCTTGGCCTTTGTTTATTTTCTGTGAAGAACATATAAAATAACATTTTCAATGACTTCACACTGTTCTCTCCCTACACATTTATGTTACATGTGGTTTTGGGGTGAACCTGCAGGGAGTAAAAGTGTAGAGGTGCTGTGTCCCTTCACTCTGTACTCCTCCTACATGGCCTGCTGTTAGTGTGTGTGTGTGTCTGTGTGTGTATGTGTTTGTATATGTGCGTGTGTGTGAGGGTGGACAACATGGACAAGCTGCTGACTGGCTACAGCTGCTAAAGGAGAACCCTACGCTGGTCACTTGTGATACTTTAAACATCTGGTATTTTTACATAAATTGTTATGGCTGTATTGATTTAAAATACCAGTAACGTGGTGGGTCCACCAGACCACTGAGTAACAAAGACATGAACACCACGCAAGGGTTAAAAAATAACTCTGTGTATCTAAGCACCTTGCTTGCTCTGTGCAGTGGAGGGAGATCTCACAACAAACAAGGTGGTAATTAGGAGTTCTGCTCGACAGGAGGTGCACATCACACATACTCAGACCACTGCGTTGTTTAAAAAAAAAAAAAAGATGTGGTTTTGCTTTAAAACATTGTTTTAATTTGAGATGTACTGTCAGCATAAGGCTGTGATGATTTCTATACAGTTTCAAAAAATGTGTGTTGGAAACAATGTTTTTGTACTCCTTTGGCCTTTTTTCAGCGAATAAACTAGCTTAGACCTGGAGTTCATAAAATGGACATAGAACCACAGAATGACATCATGAGGTCAAATGTGACTTCAGAGGTCTTTGACGGGGCTTTTTTTCTGAAGTCATTTTAAACTTCTGGAATTTTTAAAGCTTATTTTGTTTTCAAAAAGTGTATCTTAATCTCAGTATCAAATCAAATTTAACCTAAAAATATGTTTATTATTACACCCCAAGTTCATTAAGTCACATTTATGTATTCAGTGGTTTTTTTTTTTTCGAAATAAACTCTTAATTGTATGTAAATAATCAGGTTAAATCAAAAGGTGGTGAAATTTGAGATTTAATGATACACCAAATAATTCCTAAAAACATTGTATTTAAAATTGAATCCTTATGAAGTCATTTTACACCCTAGTCAGGATACCTTCCTGTAGACACGTATTAAGAGCCTCTGAGCTGACAAGCTGTTTTTTACCCAGAACTGTAGTCTCTCCCACTTCCTGTCTCTCTCTATGTATTATTGCTGTGATGTCCTGTCAGAGACGTGGTGTGCACAGCGTGAGCGCCCTTTTCTTCTCTCACTCACTCTCCACTCTCCCTCTCTTTCTCTCTCACCGGAACCATATGAAGGAGCTTCATGGGGTAATGCCTTAACTCTCTGTATCTCCCCCCTCTCTCTTTCTGTCTCTTCCTTTCCCTGTCTGTCCTGTTGCCTGTCTCTGTGTAAGTCTGTCGGCTCTGCGCCATGTTCATAGACCGGAGATGTAGCAGAGGATTATTTTCCCTGCGGTCTCTTCATAACATTGCCATCCTGAATCAGTGACTCTCTCTCATCTGTTTGCTCACCTGACTTCTCTTTCATTGTTTAACCCTTAGAGGTCAAGAGTTGTTGCTTTCGCTTTGTATATTATTCAATTGCAATAATAATATTACATGCCTAATTACATAATAATTTATGTGAGAATATACATTAAATATCAGCAAGTTTGAGGCTTCATGGCATCCTGGTTTTTACTTTAGTTTCAACATAAAGAAACAATAAATGATATTTTTCATTGTGTGTAGCAGAAAGACTGTGCACAATAACTTTTTGCCAAATTCAAGTAGAGGAATTGTCTCGCCAACTCCTGCTGTTCTGCTTCTCTCACTGTCCTCCTCAAAGAGGTCGGTTGCACCTGTTGATTACAGGAACACAGTATAGCCTCCCTTTGGTTCTGCAAGTTACATAAAAAATTCCATATACTTAGATTTACAATACATTCACATGAGCGTCTGTGCACAACGATAACTTTTCATCAAATTCAAATAATAAAAATAGCTCCTCTTCTGATTACAAACACAATTATGGTCTGCTTGTGTCAATGAGCTACATGTAAATGGTAATACTTCACTTAAAGAGTGTCTGCATAAGACGTTCATAACATCTTACGTAAACGCTTCATAACATGTTCATGAATGTTTAAATCAACATTCATAAAGCATACATGTTTTACATGACATTAATATGGACTATTAATATGGACTATAATGTCATTTTCCTGAGAGACATTTTTTAAAATAAAAGTCCTCATTTTTTTTATATAAAAGCTATATTATTTTTAGTGAAAAGCCTAATTTCTGGACAGCCAAAATGAAAATGACTTTGCTTTAACCTTTTTGGTCATTAAATGCTTTGACACATAGGCACATTTTGCCTACACTTTCAACTTCTTTGAAATTATTTGTTATTTTTTTTAAGCATTAGTATTGTGCATTTTTATTCTTTCTCCTTTTTACTCTATATCTTCTTAAAATGTTAATGCGTCAAAGTGTTAATTCAACAATACATTGTTGAGGAACATGTTATTTATCCTGAGGTTTAACTCTCTTGGGGTTAAATGCTAGCACTGTTAGTGATGTTTTTTAACGCTTATGGTATTGGAGAAGGCACAAGTATAATTGTGCATTGGTTATCCCATTTAACTGACACTCTTTAAGGTTAAATGTGGCGCTGTTATTCCAAGGACTAATAAATTCAGTTCTGCCTTTACTTCAAAGTGATGGAAGCTAACCAGACTGAAATGCATGTTATGTGGATCTTTAAATTGCAATGCAAAGCAGTCTGCTTACATTCATGTGGCTGTCCAGCCTCGACAGTAAATGGATGGGTATTGTGGTTCTTTGAAAATTCCTTCATACAACAAGTCCCACCACCATAATAAGAATCAGTAGAATGATTGTTCATAGCATATTCATGAGTAACTTACTGTCCATATAGTAAAGTGACATGCAAATCAACAAATTCTTAAGAAAAAACAAACAAAAAGAAGTTGAAAGTATATGTGACACAAGCATGAGTGTCAAAGCACTTAAAGACAAGGTCATTTTTAATTTGGCTGTCCAGAAATGAGGCGTTGCACTGAAAATATAGTTTTTTAAAGGAAGAAGTGAGCCATCAACTAGAGGGTTGCGGGGTCAAATCCCACAACTAATTAGGTGTTCCTGGTTGTGCCTTTGGGCAAGGCACTTAAACCCCCCTCTGCCCCAGGTGGCGCTGCCCTGCTGCCGACACTGTGCTGCTCCCAGATTGGGCATAGTTAGGCAGCAAAATGACAAATTTCCCCTGTAGGACTAATGAAGTACATAAAAAATGAGGACTTTTGTTTTGAAAAATACACAAAGACACAACAGTCCATATTAATGTCATGTAAAACATGTATACATTATAAATGTTGATTTAAATATTCATGAACATGTGATGAAGTGTTTATGTAAGATGTTATGAATGTGTTATGTAGACACCCTTCAAGTAAAGTGTTGCCTAAAAATAATATATATTGAATTAAACTATGCTTTTACTACCATCTTCTTCTAAGGGTTAAATTTCTACCATTATAAAAAGCATAACCAACCTCTTTGCCTTGTCTCTCCATGCAATCTAATAGCAATCTGAACATCAGCCTGACCGTCAGCCTGAATACCCAAAGGAGGAGTCCCAGTGATCACATGTAGTTCATATCAGTGCATGTGACTGTCAATCTGAACTTCCTCTAATCATGTTGTATAATAATATAAGTCACTCCGGCTCTCTTTGCTGCTGTACATGCTGCCATTCTTTGCTCTTCTTCATTAGCCTTCTTCCATCTCCAGCATCTCTAGGCATGAGGACAAATGAGAATATCTCTGCCTAAACGCTAATGCATGTCACCATGCGGTTCACTGAGGGAATGTTCTCTACTGCTCTATAGGGTCATGTGATCAGTTCCATTTAAGCTACTAATTTCTGTGTCTGCATAACGTCCCGAGTTATGCCAAGAAAGCAAAAATCCTTTTCATATGACTCATGTTACTCTGAGTCGGAATCGTCAGCAACTTTTGCTTTGGGTTAATTAGACAGAAACGTGGTAATTTGTTTTCAAGCAAACTCATCAAGCCCCCTGAGGTTGGAACCATTTACTGCAGTAATTATGCAGCTGGAATGTGAGGATGTGCCTCGTTGGCGTCAGCATCCATACTCAAAGGAACAAACGAGATTGTATGAATTGGATTTTTCAGTGAACAGCTACAGTGTGTTTTAGTGTGTTTCTCTTTTTTCAACCAAGTTTCTGAGGTTCCTTTAGAAAGGAATAGCTGCAGTTGTTACATCCACCTCAGATGCTTCCTTTCTGTCAGTTTTTTCCCTTTTAGTCCTAGCTCTACAAACACAACCAAAAGAAACTGTCACTGTTTAAGTGTTGCAAACAGAAGTGAACATCAGTTTAGAAGTGTTCTACCAGCCATACACAGCATTTTCTTCTGGCAGCCTTTGTAACTTTATCTCCAAAAATCCTCCAAGGTTTCTTTTTTTTGCCTTCAGCCTACAAGTCATTAAAGTGATTATGCCTTGGACTGTTATTTCAGTGGGTTGTAGCTTAAAGAATCAAATTTACACAATTTTTTATCTTAACCAAAGTCAATCAGCCAAGACACCTTTGGTGTGTGAAATTTGCTTCTGTAATTTTACAACGGAGCTATGAGGCTAACGTTGCTAAGAAATAATGGGAGCAATATTCTTATTAAAGTTTTTAATAACTCAAACTGGTTTACTGCAGCATGTTTGTTATTTGTAAATACAACTTATATATGTTGAATGTGCTTCTAGCCTGCGTGGCCAATGCAGATTTTTATATCTGCTTACCCCTGCTGTATGTTATCCAAACATATGCTGCTTTCCATGGAGTCCTGCTGGTGACATCCGGTATAAATAAAAATAATACATGGCCATGCCATATTAACGAGTGGGAAAGAGGTCCTGATGTGTGGTCATGACTTAGTAAGGGGTGGAGACGAGATAATTAAGTCGTGGCCAGGACTTAGTAAGGTGTGGGAACGAGCACATGCCTTATTAAGCTGTGGCCAAGGCTTAATTATCTCATTACCATGACTTACTAAGTCGTGGCCATAACTTAATTATCTCTTTTCCATGCCTTACGAAGTAGTGGCCACATATTAGGATCTTGTTCCCATGCCTTACTAAGTCATGGCCACAACTTTATTTTTCTCATTCCCACACCTAAGTTGTGGCCATGCATTATTTTTATTTATATGGGATGTCACTAGCAGTGCTCTGTAGCTTTCACATGTTTGCCTTGAAAAACGTACCGTTATTCTGCGCCTCATAGTGGTGCGTGACTGATGGCGGCATTAGGCCAGGCAAAAGTTGGCATGGTGACAGTGTTACCACCAAAGATGGATGATTATCAGAAGAGAGCTTTAGCAGTGTAGATTGTCGGTGGAAAAAGGAAGGAAGACATTGTTCTCTATTTTTGGTAGTAAAATACTGGGTTTCTGGAAATCAACGACACGTTTGACATCCATGGTTCCCCCATAAAAAAAAAAAAAATCTGGTTAATTTGTTCATTGCATGTAATGGCAAAAATTGGGAAAATTAAACTCTTGACACAATGTTCTGCTCACCGCTGCGGTCTGCAGAATCTTGCCACTGGCACTGGCAAAAATGTTCGTCGTGGCACTTTTGAAAACAACGGAATATCCAGATTGCTGTTGTCCATCTACTGTCAACATGTGAACGCAGCAGTAGACATAGACCTCAACTATATTAGCCTCAAAGCTCCAGTGAAAACCTAAAAGAGCAAATGCCAGACATCAGATATGTTTTGTTTGGTCGACGTGTATGGCAAAAGAAAAAAATGTACAAAAACCACAAAAATAAGGGAAAACTTGATTCCTTTAAGGCTGACTTTACTCAGCGATAGAGCATCTGAACAAAAAATGTCTTCACATTCATGTTTAAATACAAATGTTTTTCATAGTCCAGTGCACTTCAAGGCTGATCTGTGTTATGTCTCTTAGTTAAGTCATCTGGATGATATGTTGTGAGCATTCATAATGTTTTGATTAATGTGTTTTGTTCATTCATTAGATCGCATCAAAGTGTAAACAGGTGGGAAACCCCCTACATTCCTCCTTTTTTCTTGCTTCAAAACCCTTCTAACTCTACTTTTCCTGGAGTTAAGGGACAGTGTGCCTTAAACAGCTCTGTGTAGTGAATTCTGTGTAAGAGGAGGGGCCTCTGCACTGGTCATTCTGATAGCTTTTAACAAAGTCCATGATAAGTAAATGAATACAGCTGTTGAATGCAGAGAGAGTTCTGAGAAAGCTATCAGGAAGACCAGCGTGGCATCATATGTTACATAGTACCTGTGAGTTTGTGAGTTCTGTGTCGTGGTTTAGAGTTGAGCAGGCCCCGGACATCCGAGAGAAAGCATGCTGGACTAATGTGCATCAGAGAGCATGGGGAAAGTGCATGCCGGTGTAGAGAACTGGACCAGGGGAGTAACCCCGCCATGATGTGTGTGGCCATGCTGTTCACTCTCGCGCTGACACTCTCAAGGGAGAGCAATAGACTATGGGTAGATTGGTATGTGTGTGCTGATTGGTTCAGAAGGGACTGTAGGAGACATAGCGCTGTAATTCAGATATTTTTTTCTGTTTTGTAGAAGGATTGTCAAGTGCTGATCGTGAACTTCTCAACTTAGGTTTAATTTTATTTTATGATTATCTCAATATATAGTAAAATATAACAGTATTTAATGATACTTTAAGGATTAGGTGTATACAGTGTTAGGGTAGTTATTCAAAATATCAATATTCAAATATACTTTTAGTCACTACTAATTATCTCTCTCAAATTGTAATGGAATTACTTTACTTATTACTTCCTGGAAAGCAGTCTCACTACTTAATTTAATTTGCTTCTAATTTATTTTCTAAAACACAAATCTGTACAAACTAGAAAGCACCGTGAAAAACTCAACTCCTTTTGGCACTGTATTCAGATAGAACTAGCCAATCAGAGTAAGCATCATTTAACCCCTTATCAAGCCATGGGCCTGACGGTGTTTTATTACACACTTCTATAGCCTAAGAATAGCTCCATTAGTTTGCACTGAAGTCCCTGTAGTTAATGAATAATAAGTCTTAGTATGTAACAAGCCTGGAGTGTTAAGGGGTTAAAAGGCCTGTCACTATCCCTGCCTTTGATCTGAATAAGACCAGTTATTCTGATTAAAATAATGAATGGCCCCAGCTATTTAAAAATCTAGACAGAAGAAACAGTACAAAAACAGCTGCCTCAAAAAAAAAAAATCGTTATGAACAAAATATGAAGCTTATTGAGCCTTTTCTAAATAAAAATCCAGTCTGGCTTATTAAGGTGAAAGATTAAAGATCTCTCTCCGTCTGTCAGTTATAGTGAGTTATAGACAGACACTGATAATATTTATACGAAATTTCTGTTTCAAATGCATTTCACTGAATTAATATTGTTTAATATTGTAATTAATTGATTAATATTGTAGATTTATAACTAACACAAACAAAAAGTCCTTATCAAGGCAGTAACTATAATGTGATTACAAGAACTGAAAGTGAATTACGTTACAATACTTCTTTACAGGAATGTAATTACATCACTGTAATGCGTTTCTTTGTACTGCCTTAACGCCAACACTTGAAGTATAACAGTAAAAGGTATTTTATCATTTTGTATTGTAACAAATGTTTCACTGTATTCTTGTATCATATCATTATAATTTAAAATAGCTAAATAAATAGCTCAGGGCTAACATAATAGCTTGGGGCTAGTGATAGGTCTGGGCACTATGAAGCACAGCTTCTGTGCTTCTCTTGATGGATCAGACTAAACTCCACTGTACCATTCTAAAGTCTCAAATATTGTACTTTTATGTGGTTCAATATCTAATAAACTGAAAACATGAAAATATAACATAAGGCACATTCTCCTAAATTTTGACGATACTCCCAAGAGTTGTAACCTTGTAACTTTTTCTCTGATGGCTGTTGAAGTTTGTGGTGCAAGATAAATTTCGTTGACAACGTATAGTAAAGTATGTGTTATCGTGTTATATAGTATTATATAGTGATCAACATTCTATACGTCGTCGGTAGGCCTACAGTAATCGCAGCTGTATTTTATTTTTAGTTGCAGAAGATGCTGCTGTATTATTTTGTAGTAGATTCATAAAGTTGCTTTGATTTGATCCATCTCTCAGCATCCTTCATGCACAGGATCATTTTTGTCACCTTTGTACTTGCTGAGTGACAGTTGAATGAGATGTGATGTGTTGTTGTTTTCTGTTTCATTGCTGCATTGGAAGACCCAAACGGTACCTGCACAGCCCAGTAGTCCTTCTAAAGTATTCTGCTCTGAGCTTTGGCCTGAAGCTATGCATCATTAAGATGATGTGAAGTGGAGAAAGATTTAACCCCTGGAGTTGTGCCAGATCCAGAAAATCAAAATGAAAGATTTAATGATGCAGCCTCAGCTGGTTGGGAAGTTTTCATCACGGTATATTATCAGAAATCCCACCATAGAAGCCTATGTACTGAATGTCTACCATTTAATGGGTGCTCATAAATTCAAACAGGTTTAATAATTTAGTAGTATGCTTGGAAATAGGATTACGATGCCCTTGTTGCATTTTGCACACAGGACCTTTGTTCTGTGGAGATGTTTGACCCCTGGGTTGTTTACTTGAACGTTGAACATTCAGTCATAGGCAGCGCTTGTGCATTTAGTAATCTATGAAATGATGTTAGAGTCTTGTAATTTTATTTCAGACATCCAGAGGCCAGAGCATGGCTAAATTTTGCAGAAGGTGCTGCTTGGCTTCCATGCAGATAGAACCTTGAGGTTGCGCTGCATCTGGTGTTGCTGTTTGAGATATCTTCTCTTTTTTTTCTTCATTAAAAATAGATTTGTTTGTTTGCCTTCTGGTTGATTTGCTATACATGCTTAAAGGAGAATTCCACCAATTTTTCAGTTCTGCATAATTTAGTTGTTCAATAAAGGCCTTCAGAGTGGGCTGTTGTGAAATGTACCATTCTAGAGAAAGCTAACGAGTCAGAATTGTTCACAGTGGTAATAAGAACCAGTTGTTTGATGTGTTTAAGAGCTCTAAAAGCTCCTTCACAAAGTTTTTACATTAAATGTTTGCAAATTTGGCTGAATGAAATGATTTTTGCCAAAAAGTAGCCCTGTCACTATTTTACATTATTGCCTAATTGCAATTATTTGAAATCATATTATTTGAGATGATCACAATTATTTAAGCTGTCTGCAAACATTTTTCACAGTTGCTGCATTTCACAGTCATTTTATGCCACAAAAAGCAAAATGTGAATTGGGAACTTTGGGTTGAGAAAAATACATGTAAATATAAGAAAGCAGTAAATGCATTAATATGAAGTTAGAAACAAAGTTCTAACTTGGCGACTGTACCATATTTAGAGGGCAGTGTGAGTATTATTTTGTTAGCCATGTAGCTAATTCTAATGCTCAACATGTATGCTAGCAGAATTAGTGTTTTTTGCATTTATTTTCACTCTCAAGACTCTCTAGCTACTAAGTACACATAACTAGGAAACAAGATGGCGAATCAGCCAGTCTGGCCACTTTTGGCTTGTATTTTAATAGTTGCATACCATAAATAAGACAAAGCTATAAAATCATTTATTGCAATTATTTATATGACAATTAATCATCAGCTAAAATTTAATGATTGTGGCCGCCCTGCCAAAAAGTGTTCATGGCACAGAAGTACATGCAGGGCATCGTAAGGCCAAATTGCCCCCCCAAGAACGTATTTTTTCAGATTTCATACTACTTCACCATTATCAGCATTACTTACAAAAACGTGCAGGTTCACAAGTCATCTTGAATAGTAAATAAAATGGCTATGTTTACACTGAAGACCTCTGGTTCCTATCACCTTTAATGCAAAGAAATCTAAGTCAGTAAGTTTCTCTACCGTGCAGCATTTCACATCAACCCACTCTGAATTTGTGTATATCTCATCAATTGAATTTTGCAAAAATGACAGGAACTTTCCTTTAAGAAAGTAACACCAGTGTAAAGTCAGTGATGTCTGAGCCATGATGGCTGCTCTGTAGGAAAGCCCTTTTTGCGAAACAGCACTGGTTCCCCACAAAGAAACAATTCCCTTTGGGTGTAGTTTCTTTTCTATCATTGGTTGCAGTTTATTCTTTAGAAATCTGATGCACAGCCTTATTTGATTTAGTACATTTGTTATTTTTGCATGTTTGAATATTTTGTAGAGGCTTTAGGAGTAAACTAATATTGCAGTTTGGCTCCATAAGGTAGACTAACTGATAACTGCTTTGCTTGCATGCAGAGGATTCTTTACAAACTCATCTCACTCATGTAATGCAGGATTACATGGATTACGTTGTGTGTGGTTGTGTGCTTTTGTGTTATCAATTCATTCCTGGTTGGGTGTAATATACAGATGAATAAGCAATAAGGTAAAGGTGCATTACTTTAAAAAGGTATTCGATACGTTTGGACTGTTCAGTGTCAGTCAGATGTATTTCATTGGTTAGTGATTCCTTTTTGATAGTATAGACAGAGCATTAACTCACCGTGGTTTCAGATTTTCACTCTTGTCTAGAACAAGCTCTGGTTTTTTAGTAATCTAGCTGTGCTGCCATAGTGTACCTTGAGCACTAACTCAGTGTATAATGAAGCTCTTTGCTCTTCACTTGCATTTTTAGAGGGACCAAAGGCAAAGACATTAGCACCATCAAATCTCTCAGAGTGTTACGAGTCCTTCGACCACTGAAGACTATCAAACGGTTACCAAAGCTGAAGGTACAAAAACTGCTGTCGTCTCTCTAATGGAATTATTTTGTGTGCTCTGTGTTTGTTAGCTTTTTGCTCTAGACGTTTAATCAGCTGTCAGCAAAGTAAAGCATGCATTACAGCAGGTTACAGACGTTGGTGTGTGTGTGCTTGTATGCCTGTGTTCTCCTTAGGCTGTCTTCGACTGTGTGGTGAACTCCCTGAAGAACGTGTTGAACATCTTCATCGTCTACATCCTCTTCATGTTCATCTTCGCTGTTATTGCTGTGCAGCTCTTCAAGGGCAAGTTCTTCTACTGCACGGATGAGTCCAAAGGACTGCAGAAGGACTGCAGGTACTGACAGGCGCCACAGGCAGCACTGCCCATACTAGGCTCGCTTAGCTCACATCGCTAGCTCCCCCTGTAGGCATACAGTCATACTATACAAGAATAGAGAAAGCAGCTTCAAACAGACAAGATTTATAGAACTATAGGGCTGTCTGGCATACACTGGAGCAGAGTAGAGCTTAGATTATAACAACAACAATAATAACAACAACAACATCAGTAATAATAACAACAACAATAGCAACAACAGCAATAACAACAGCAATTACATCAACAACAATAACAACAGCATAATAATAATAATAATAATAATAATAATAATTCTTATTACTATTATTTTTATTGCCCGTGTTGTTATTGTTATTAAATTATTCTTCTTATTATTAATAACATTATATTGCAACTACTACTACCAGTAATAATAATAATAATAATAAAAATTATTATTATTATTATATTATTGTTGTTGTTGTTGTTGTTGTTGTTGTTGTTGCTATTATTAATCATTTTAAAGTACCAATTAATACATAAACTATTAATGTATTATTAATGCATTGCTATTAACAATAATAATAAATAAAATCATAACATTAATAATGTTAAGTAATTTCATTAATGTTGCTATTAATATTATTATTGTTATTATTATTATTATTATTATTATTATTATTATTAATAATAATAATAATAATAATAATAGTAATTTTATTTTTAATACTACTACTAAAAATAAACATATAATATATAAACTAGTCATTAATTTATGTGTATTATTTATTTATTTTTTTAAAATGCAAAACAAAACTATTACTAGGAGTAAGAGTATATGAACATTTTCATGTTTTCTAATGTAACATATTCCCAAGGTATTTTTTGTTTTGTTTTGTTTTTTATGTCAGAGGGCAGTTTCTGGACTATGACAAAGATGAGGTCTCAGCCCAACCCAGGGTGTGGAAGAAGTACGATTTCCACTATGATAACGTGCTGTGGGCTTTCCTCACCCTCTTCACTGTGTCCACAGGAGAAGGCTGGCCAACGTGAGTCTATACTCACACACATACAATTCCACACTGTGAGCCTTATATACAATGAATATTTTTTGCTAGAAGCACACAAAAACAGAGCCTTTCCCCATCAACCTTTTCTCCTTTCATTGTTCAGTGCAGTTGTTCATTTGGAGCAATTTATATTTATGCATATTTATTTGCTGCGTCTGTTTTTGAAGGGATTAAAAGCCCATAAAAGCCTCTGTCCTCTTTAAACATCTCTTTTGGTCCCTCTGCCCCAACTGTGGCCTCCTCTGATCTCAGTTCAAAGGTGTGTGTCAGTTTGAAGTGTTGCCCTTTGGAGGCTTCACACTCAGAGCTAAACACAATTCTCCTCATGCACCCATCAGACCAATGGGTGACGGGGCTCTGTTCTGAAAATGTATCGTGTGAGCTGTGTAATTGTATGTGATTTGTGTCTTATTTAAGCAAAGTTCACAGGCTTGATGGGTCAGCGCGTTCAACACTTACTCCCATGTCCTCTTTGCTCTCTGCTCGCTTTTCTTGACGAAATCATACAATGAAATAGGCTATTATATAATTCACTAAGGCATGCTATGTAAAAAAATTGAATGTGTAAGTTTTTAGGTCAAGCACAAAGTTAATTAAATACAGTGTGTTCTTCAAACTGAGAGGGGCTAACTTTTCTTAATTTTTGCAGTTTTTTAATTACCGTGGAAGAATTGCTGATGATTTAAGGTTAATAGGCATGAGATTAATGTTATTGATGAATCTCATGGCAATTAAATGTGCCAGAGCACTATAATTGGCTTGAGCTCATAAATTTCCAACTTCAAGGCTGAGGTAGTCAATAATAATTGCTAAAAATGGCTTTTTTCTTAATGTATGTGGTCTGTATATAGTCCACTGATGAGCCTACACTGAGTGTTGGTCTTTCCTCAGGGTTCTGAAGCACTCTGTGGATGCCACCTTTGAAGACCAGGGTCCCAGTCCAGGCTACCGTATCGAGATGTCCATTTTCTACGTGGTTTACTTTGTTGTCTTCCCCTTCTTCTTTGTCAACATCTTCGTGGCCTTGATAATCATCACATTCCAAGAGCAAGGGGATAAGGCATTGTCTGAGTGTAGCCTTGAGAAGAATGAGGTAGGACCCAGTGGTGATCCTTGGGGCACCACTAGGAGCATTTTAAGTGCTTTAAAAACAGATGTACTTCCTGGTACATTGGATTCAGATAATGCAAGACGTGTATGTACACTGCATGTGTATCACAGAGATGAAAGCACTGCTTGTTGAACACTGGCAAATATGTGAATGCCTTTGTTTTTTATATGCTTACAAGATAATGTTAATAATGTATGGAGCAAAAGTTAGAGGCCCTCACTTTACAATTTCTAGTCAGCTTGTTTATTGTTAAGTGCTTCTCCAGCTCTTGCTGCAGAATAGTATTATAGACGTTTCTCAACCTCAGAAACAGTTCGCATTTTTTCTTTTTATTTTTCCCCTAATTTTCTCCCCAATTCAGTCATATCCAATTCCACCCACTAGTTAGGACTCCCCTAATCAGACGATACAATCAGCGCTAGGAGGGCGAAGGCTAGCACAGGCTTCCTCTGAGACCTGTGAAACGCCACCGCATCTTTTTGAACTGCCACTCACGCAACATTATTGGACAGCCGAACGCGCTCGGAGGAAAGCGCCGACCACCAGTTCTGTTACGTCAGCTAACAGACGCGTGTGCTGACTAGCATCGCACTGACTGATGCGGGGAGAAGGAGGGGCCATCATACTCAGCCAGAGAGTGAGGCCAACTGTGCTCTCTTGGACTCCCATCCATGGATGGCTGTAGCATCACCAGGGATCGAACACAGTTCGCATTTTTACTAGGTTTTTATTTATGCGTAAAGGCACAAACAAGTCTGGTCCAGTTTCAGCTTTGTTGGTGTCATGATAACAAAGATCTTTGTAATTTTGAGAGCTTTTTCATCACCAAAACTCGTTATGTTTGTGATATCTTCTCTTCTCCTTGTCATCTATTGTGCATGTCCTTGTGTCAAAAAGACAAGAAATTCTGTAAAAGACTGATACTGAGTGTGTGATACTCCCTGTTTTGGAAATCTCTTAGGATTTTTAAGTCATGTAGTTGGCTTTAGCTAACTAAAGTTACCCAGCAAGAACAAGGTGTTTCAATACAAGTCTAACAAACTGCATAATGTAAATGCTAAATGCTAAAAATACTTCAAAACTACTTTCTATTTTATTTGTTTTATTGCTCAAAGTCAACATTTTTTGTACTCAATCGGGGCCATAAAGAAGCAGGAATTAATATTTTGTTAAACATCTCTTTATATAGAAAAGGAACAATGATGAAACCTCACTTAGACATATCAGATACACACCCACACACAATGCACATACACTCAGCATGGTGCTGTAGAGCTACAGTACAGCTACAGTCTGATACTCAGTGGTGGTCTTGCAGTGAAGCCAGCCATGGCAGTAGGTACAGATGTCCAGGCAATGACAAGATTGATTCACACGCAGGATTGATTTAGCCCAGCGGAAGAGCAGACATGAAGACATCTCTGGTCTTTTTCCTCTAAAACTCACTAAGACATAGCTAGCTAATTTGCAGAGGCACTAACATAGATATAGTTGGTGTCTCATCAGCTACAGCAGAAACTCAAAATTTAGTGACAAAAAATAAAGCACAAAATGCTAAGGTGTCCATTTTCTTCCCCTGATTAGAATTCAGAGGGAAGTTACTTTAATAATTAAGAGTAGTTATTGCCTCTGTATATCACTACTCCTGTGCCAGTAGCACATCCCTTACTGACTTGCTTAAATTGCAGCAGTGGGTATACTGCAGGCTTGCTGTGGTAAGATAACAGAGCAAAAATAAGGAAAACGACTTTTTTCCCCAGTCCTACCGATAACGTTACATGTACTAAATGAACAAATAGGGGTGAAAACGTAAGAGGTGAGATGGCCCTGCCACTGCCATGGAGCAGCCAGACTCAATCAGTACTGTCGGTTGTCTCTCTCCAGGCCATGCTGGGAAGCAATACCCCTAGGTAGTTGCTGCACTTTGTATGGTAATTTTCATTAAGCTGCAGCTGGCTCTGCCTCTTAATCGGTTTTGACTTCAAGAGAGCGCATGTGCTTCCAGAAAGCCTCTTACCAAATGTTCCCATCCAAAACCACAGTTCAGAAGTCATAAGCTGAATGATTATATTTAATTAAAACCTGAAACATGATGGTGCTGTGAGCGTCGCTGATGGATTTTGTTTTGTGAATGAATTCCTGGTTTGCTCCCTCTTTCTCAGAGAGCCTGTATCGACTTTGCCATCAATGCCAAACCCCTGACCCGCTATATGCCCCAAAGCCAGCAGTCCTTCCAGTACAGGATGTGGAAGTTTGTGGTGTCGCCACCTTTTGAGTACTCCATCATGATCATGATCGCTCTCAACACCGTGGTCCTCATGATGAAGGTCAGGGACTGGTCTTTCCTTCTTACTTCTGTATTGCTTTATTTTGATGGTTCACTGCAGATGCTCAACAAAATATCTAACTTAACTTTTCCCTAGAACTCAGGCTGGCTTTATATGGTGAAACTTTCATGTAGCTAGATGTATGACAGTTGACAAAACATGAAGAAAAAAAAAATGAAGTCAGTAAACAATAATCAAAGTTGCATGTGCTGCATTTGTTTATTCCACTGTTTATATATATTGTATGTTGTCATTTTCATACATTGTATGGTAACACTTTATCTAGAGTGGTCCTTTTTAGATGATTAATAAACTCTTAACAGATTATCAGTAACACATCAACAACATAGCAGTGAAGTAGCAGTAGTGAAACATCTGAATACATTGAAGTAAATATCTTGTAGATGTTCTGTTGATACATTACTTACATTAAGTAGATGTATTGTTAATACGTTAATACGTCCATTACACCAAACCTTACCTTACCAACCTTACCCAAAACCTAATCATAACCCTGGCCCTAATCCTCACCCTAACCTTAACCTCAACCCTACACCTAATCCTAACCCTCACGTTTTTGACATGTTTTATAGGAAAACTTAATTTGTATGTTCTTGTCCGTGTTGTATCAATGATGTGTTGGTATCAGTTGAGTGAAATGGTATCATTTGATGAGGAACGCTAACGATTGTCAGCGTTTTGTTCCGCGGTTGCATTAAAACTTGTTTTGTAAAATTGAGGTGGCTGTTTGAAGTGAATTTATGGAGGCTTTACATTACGCAATGCTTGTGAAATTTAGTTCCATGTATGTTTCAAGCATGTTGTCTACAAGTTTCACTGTGTAAAGCCAGCATTACATGCACTCTAATGCTAACCTTAACCTAAACGCTAGGCTTAACTTTACTAATCCTAACTTTGCCCTAATGCTGTTAATAATCAACTGAGTTGCATCTTGCAGTTTCTTAATTATAAAAACATTTGTAAACAAGCTAGAGGGCACATCAACATAAAATATGATCAGGTTTTCTTGTTCCTCTAACTTCTTCTATCTACTGTCTTACGACACTAAAATGTCTTGTTTTTATGCTCATGAAAATGTGTGGATTTTCGTCTTGTCCAACAGTTCCACGATGCCCCCGTGTTTTATGAAGCGATGCTGAAGTATCTCAACATTGTCTTTACTGCCCTCTTCTCATTGGAGTGCATTCTTAAGATCATTGCTTTTGGCCCTTTGGTAGGTATAAGCCTGTCATATCTTGATCGCTTCAATCTAGGAATACCCTGAGGTGGCAAAAATGGCCCCTCAAGCCACTATAATGGGTTTTAATAGAACATCATGCTGAGAGTGTTGAATGGGCAGTTTTTCCAGCTTGTGCGTGAGTGATCTTGCTAATCCTCTTCGTTCCAGAATTACTTGAAGGATGCCTGGAACGTGTTTGACTTTGTGACGGTGCTGGGGAGCATTACTGATATCCTAGTCACTGAATTTAAAGTAAGTGAAAGGCAAAAGCATCCTGCATGAACATTTTCAGAGTGAGAATTAAGCCTAGTGTAATAACTCCAGCAGCAAAGGAAGACAAAGAAATAGAGAAGGAAAGAAAGAGGCTTCTGATTCTGGAGCAGACTAACACATGATGAGCTAAACACTCATCCACTTAATGTATTGTTTTTAAAGTATCTCTAATACAACAGTAATCAAATCCTGAGAAATAAAAATAGTGTAGTCATACCAATATGAATACTATCTATTACAGTGGTCACCAAACCTGGTCCCTCATGCAGAGATTAGTTCCAGTTGCAATCTTCCACACCTGTTCCAGTTAATTCACTTTTTCAGAAGTGCTTAATTGACTGGATCAAATGATTAGTATTAAATAAGGAGGGGGTTGCAAGTTAAATGCAGGTTGAAACTAAACATATGTTTAAAAGTATATTTAATGTAGTTATTAATTATTTAATTCCATATAATTTAACACGGTCAGGTTTGTATTTCCACCCAGAGCTACATGTATAGTGTATCAAGTCTAATAAACAGCTGTATTGTGTGTCCTAATGTCCATGTCATTGTCAAATAGTGTTACTAATGTTATTGTCTGTAATATAACTTTCTCTGTATGTGATGACTGCTCATTTTTTCCTGTTTTTCTCATGGTTTCTTTCATATCTCTCTGGCTCTCTCTCTCTCTCTCTCTCTCTCTCTCTCTCTTTCCCTTTACCTTTTTCTCTCTTCTGCTTGATCTTCTTCTTGTTCATTGTTCTCACCCCATCTTGGCTGCCATGATGTTTGCCCTCATTTGTAGATGGCGGTGAGTGACGTCTTCTTGTGCCAATGAATATCCGTTTCACCTTCTTGATGCTGGTCCTGTAGTGTGGATGCATTGGGCGTGTCAGCAGTTCAATAGATAAAAATGGGAATTGTGGGCTGATGGCGATATTTTTCATATACATATCTGCCGATGCAGATATTTAAATATTCACAACATGTAAAATTGGGTCTACGCTCAACTGGATTAAAATTCTAAAAAAATATGACATTTGTTTCTAAAGGTCTGCAGCAAAATGAATACAATTCAGACATTTTAGCACAGCAGCCTAGTACCAACTAAATGTCCTGCTCTTCTGGAGTACAATACATACATCATCAATTATCACAATTGAAATAATGGCTAAATCTAATCACCTGCCCAATGCCAATATTTTTTTGGTGATACTTTATTTTGAGTGGTCGTTTTTATATGAAAAAACACTCAAAATAAAGTGTTAGCATGTTTTTTAAAACAATTATCTGCCAGTACTGATATGATATCATCGTGCATCTGTACAGTTTAGTGTAAAATAGATCTGGCTCTTGATGAGTGAAGGTCATTTTCTTATAAAGTGGTATATTATTGCTGGTCATCAGGACCTAGATTTCTACTAAGGTGGGGCCTGTTTGGGTGGAATAAAGTCTGTGGAGGGACATCTGCTAGATAAATAAATTAATAAATGATTAATTAAAGACGTTATCCCTCAGAACCGTCTGCTAAATCTGAGTTTCCTGAGGCTCTTCCGGGCAGCCCGTCTCATCAAGCTCCTCCGCCAGGGATATACCATCCGCATCCTCCTATGGACCTTCGTCCAGTCATTTAAGGTACTCAGTTAAGGACTTGTTCAAACAAAGAATGGTCTGTAAATAATTTTAAAAAATTAATAAAATTACTTTGTCCCTTTCCAGGCCCTGCCTTATGTTTGCCTTCTTATCGCTATGCTTTTCTTCATTTACGCCATCATAGGAATGCAGGTCAGTGCACTGATGGATATATGCGCTACAGTTAACCAATTTTATTATTAATAATTTTTATGTTGAAAATATCAATTCCACACTTTGAAAAAATGATTTCAGACTTTTAATCAGTCGTGAAAATGGTTATGATTTTATGTAAATAGTATAATATTGTTTTTCTAGCTGTTCTTGGCAGCTGTAGTCTGAGTTTGGTGCTATGCTGTCTGTGCAGGTGTTTGGAAACATTGAACTGAACGAGGACACTGCCATTAACCACCACAACAACTTCCGCACGTTCCTCCAAGCCCTCATGCTGCTCTTCAGGTAAAGATGCATCTTAGATACACCTCTGAAGCTTAAGCCTGTAAGTACGCAGCTTGAGACAAGAAGACATCTGAAGCAAGCAAATAATACATGTGGTTCACTATGCTAATTATAAAGGATTTAGGATAGTAAAAGTTTAGGAGGAGCACCACACCTGGTTCAGTCTAACCTCCTAGTTATTTATATCTCTTCCTTCCTTTTCTTGTGACGAAGTTTTTGCATCTCATCAGGTGGAGTGTTGCTTGATCATCTACGAAGACAACAGTGTAGTTCACTTCTAGTTTTGTAAATGATACACATTTCCTATTCCGAGCAAAAATGCATAGTGATGAAAGGCTTTATTACAAAACACTTTTTAGACCACATTAGAATTGTTTCTTTTTTTTATAAACATCAGTGCTACATTGTGATTAATACAACATTTATTAGAGAAATTACATTATGTTTTCCATCAGCATCAGCTGTAATTCTTTTAAAAAACTTGCTGTATCCAAAATAACTAATGGATATACAACATTTTGGAATGAAACCCTTGAAATCACACACACACAAATCATCTAAACCACTTGTCCTTCTGGGTCACGGGGGGTGCTGGAGCCTATCCCAGCTGTCAATTGGCGGAAGGCAGGATACACCCTGGACAGGTCGCCAGTCCATCACAGGGCAAACCCTTGAAATCTGCTCCAAAATGAGCAGAAATTGCACTTTATGGCTACTGTGAAGGTTTACCCAGTATGACTAAGCTATTTTATGGTGACTGGGGAAGAGTTCTTTTATTGCGCCAGTACTTATTTTATAAGTTTAATGAGTTTGAATTATGCACTATATCCCAGCTTCATACAGTGCCCGGCTTCAGGCCAGTTAGAGCCTTACAGAAGAGAAGTGTGTACATAAACCGACTCTTGAATTAAAAAGATATCTCATTTCTCCCATCACATCCCCCTCAGCTGCTTCTTCCCCTGGCACGACATCCACTGCGCAACATGCCCTGAACTGAATATTATTCTCATCCTACCACCATCCTTTAGTTCTCTGTTTGGCTGCTTTTTTGACTCTTTATGCCACAGGAGGGAGTAATCTAGGTTTATTATTTCTTCACAAGCTCAGAAACAGTTTACAGAAATGTGAGGAAATAGTGTTGATGATGGGTGCTAATAGGGTGGACGACTGCACACTAAGAGGAGAGCGAGTGCTCTCTCTCTCTGTTGTTGGGTCTCTTAGCGAACTGTTAATTGGCTGTGCAGACAGGGGGTTTGTCTGGGTCCTCTCAGTGTTAGGCCTCGCTGTGCCCCCTGGTTAGGGCATTATCACTATGATACATGACAGTGTAATTGTGTGTACGTGAGTGTATCTGGCCCAGCATAGCCTTTGTTCTGTACTCATCTCAGACGTGTTTACATGCTCTTGCTCGAGGCACGCTGTGTTAAATACTGCTCTCCCTCAACCGCCCTTCTCTCTTTCCACCTCTTCCCTCCTCCTGCCCCCAGTCAGATGAAAATGCGGTTTGAAGTGCCACCTGGAGGATCAGGGCAGCTAATCCCACAGAAAGCCTTCAGATTTCCATATTTTAATGAACCCCCAAAATCCTTCTCACCGCTCCTCTCTCCCCACCAGCCTGTCGGCTCAGTGCCAGAAACAGGGCACGCAGCGGTGTGCTAATAGAGCAGTTTGGGCCTAGCAAAAACACCTGTATTGTGTGTCTTGCATGGGACCTTTTTCCTTCATTAAGACCAATTTATGTTCACCCATCCTTAAAGGAATAGTTTGAGAAGTCAGATGGGCACAGTTGTTCCCCAGATGTAATCGATCAGTCAAGGTGTTTGGTGTTTAAACTTTGCACTGGAGCTAGTCTAATGTGGCTAACAAGCAGTGGAGGCTTATGCTCTACCTATTACCGTTATGCAAACTGCATGTATGGATCCTAATGCGTGGCCATGACTTACTAAGGCATGATCGCAGTCCCACAAATTACTAAGTGGTGGCCACGACTTAATTATCTCATTCTCATGACTTACTAAGTCATGGCCACACATTAGGATCTCGTTCCCACTCGTTAATAGTCGTGGCCAGGCATTATTTTTATATATATGGGATGTCACCAGCGGGGCTCTGTATATAGGCATTTCTGTTTAAGATTACCTAACAGCTCAGTGAGGATTAGAGATAAGTGATGAATTAGGCATGAAGTTTGTACAAAGCTAATTGGTAAACTTCCATTACATTGTCTACATAAAGCTAAAGAAGCAAATTACACTGGGAAAACTGCGTGGATTAGATTTTTGTGGACGTATTTCTTTAAATCTGTCTCTGTACAAATGCTGCATTTTGTAGTTCTCTATTAGTGTTGATGTGTTCTGATGTATTTATGATCTCTGGGTAATTCAGGAGTGCTACAGGGGAGGCCTGGCATGAGATCATGCTGTCGTGCCTGAGTCACCGTACGTGTGATGAGCGCTCAGGCACTCAGGGGAAGGAGTGCGGCAGTGACTTCGCCTACTTCTACTTTGTCTCCTTCATCTTCCTCTGCTCCTTCCTGGTTAGTGCTCTCTGTCAATTACCTTGGGCTTATTATTAACATTATAATTTGGTTTGTTATTTGATTTTCCCTCTTTGTTTATTAAATCAAGTATCTGCCATTTATACTTTCTTTTTGCCTCTTGGTTGAAAGAATATCCCTGTATACAAGGTCTCTGTCTGAGAATGATAAACAAAAACAAGTTTGCTGATGTGCTGGGATCTTAATTATACCTCATAGCCATCCCTGCTGTTTCAGATCTGTTTTGTTTTCCGTTGAAACTAAAAATATCAGAAAAATGGTTCTTCTTGGCCAAGAAGAATTTTACCCTGGACATGACGTTCCTTTCTCATAGGCTGAACATTTCTTTGTTTCTCTGGAGAGAAGTAGAATAAATAGGTCCAAAAAAGGCTTTATTTTCTGAAAGTTAAATGTGCAATGAGTATCTCTTCAGGCAGTGTTGATGTTGCACTTTTAACACTGACCTAAAAGCATTTGTGCTGCATCTCTATTAATGGTTTACATTAATCTTGGTGTTGGTCCAGTAGGACCTGGCCTGAAAGAACAACTCCTACCTATAATGTCTTCTATCTCTTTGTTCTGCAGATGCTGAACCTGTTTGTGGCCGTGATCATGGATAATTTTGAATATCTGACACGAGACTCTTCAATCCTCGGTCCGCACCACCTGGACGAGTTCATCCGTGTGTGGGCTGAGTACGACCCAGCCGCTTGGTATGCTTCAACCCCCACAATCCCCCCCCAGGCGACTATTTTTGATTCTCTGAAATAACCAATAACATAGTCTGGCAGTGGTACAGAAAGCAAGGGTCCGTCCTTGTGGGCTGAAAAGCCTCTGCAGTTCTCAGGTTACAGCATACAGATTTATTTAAGCATTGTTTCCTTCCTCTGTCTTCTGTAAGATAATGTGTGAAGGAACTGTTTTCCTCTAAGTATCTATAGGTGCCCTGCTCATGCACTACCTGACTGGATGCCTGTGGGTTCGAGAAGTGCCACTGACTATGCTAATGTACTCTCCAAGCTGTCCTTATACGTGTGTGATGTCTTGCTTGTTTTCTCCGCAGCGGACGGATTTCCTATAAGGATATGTACAATTTGTTGCGAATTATCTCGCCCCCTCTTGGCTTAGGGAAGAACTGCCCTAATAGGGTAGCATACAAGGTTTGCAACCCCAGAAACTTCCTCCACTTTCGTGGGCTCTGTGCGCCACTGCCCAGAGACCCAAACTGAATGGCTGTGCACTAAATGACTTGCCTATACACAAGCACTTGCCCTTTCAGACTTGACTGGCTTATGGTTAATGACGCTGATTGGGAAACAAAGCTTTCAAAGCCACAAATGTACAACAGTCTTTAATATGATGTTGTATGACATACATACTCATACATACTATTAAGCTAATACTGTAAATCAGTGTATATTGGTATGTATGTAAGTACTGAGCCATCTATTATATGACCTTAGATGTGTGATACACATACTTTTGAAGCTAAAGCTGAGAATACAGTGATGTAGCAATAAATCCAGATAAGTGCTAAGCTTATACTAAGTTTGATGGAAGGCCTGGCATTGAAACCTTTGTTTCCAAGCACTTGAACGAGGAAACCCCACCCGATGTCTCTCAGCATGCAGAAGCAGACATCCTCCAAACAATGCGGCCATTCTGTCACCATCCACACCATGTGTGCACCTCACTCTGCTCCATTCCATTTCTTCCATCAGGGATCAACTCCTCTCCCTTCAGACCTCTGACCTTTAGGATCCATCTTTGTCCCTGCCCGGGCAAGGATGGCATCCCTGTCCATGACACTCTTGGAAATCTAAATAACACAGATTTCTGTTTTTGTTGTTTGTTTGTTTGTTTGTTTGTTTTGTTTTCTCTTCTTCATTTTGTCCTTGTTTTCTTTTTTTTTTAAATTTCATTTCCTCCCCTTTGTTCCTCTTCCCGTCTCTCTAACTCCCCATCCTTGTCTTTTATTTTGGGTTTTTTGCTTTCTCTACACTGTGAAGTGGCCGTATCAAGTACCGCGATATGTATGAGATGCTGCTCCACATGTCCCCACCTTTAGGTTTGGGAAAGAAATGTCCGCCACGAATCGCCTACAAGGTAGCCTGACTTCGCCTGCCCAACTTCCCACCTCCCCCCCTTCTGCTCGCCCTGTCTTCCCATTAGCTTATCCTTCAGCCAATCTCTGTGCTATGCGATGTTTCCCGCCCCTTGTTTCCTTGTTTTTCTTTTTTTTTCTTTTTTTGCCCGCTCTCCGATCTTTCTGGTGTGGCCCTTCTTCTTCTTACTCCTTTTCTTGGACAACTGTGCCCCTTCTCCACTACCTGGTGATCACAGTATTACAGTTTAGTAAAATGTTAGCTGGAATTAGTGATGTTTAAGAGAACCCTAAGCCCCATACTTGGTCTGTTTTGCTTTCAAAACTGTCACCTTTCACATTTATTCAAATACGTCTCTACACTGCATTGTTTGTGCACCATATAAGCAGTTCAAAGCAAGCAATTTTGAGCACCAATTCATGTTATGCATTAGATGTTTACTAAAAATTAGTAACTTTAAACCATCCCCTCACAAAGGTGTGCCTTATTGGTGTTTGATTGCAGTTGGTTGAACCATTCCAGGCAAAATATATTTTGTAGGTATGGTCCTTCTTTTTAGTGGCCCCACATTTAGCTTAGCAAACTTGTTGTTAATTATTAACCTCTTAACCTAGAGTAGGCTTGTGCCCCTAACAGCTGTTCCCTCTCATTCTTCTTTGTTGTGGAGCAGTGCATATATGCGTATGTGTGTTGCCTAAGTCGCTTTCAACCCTGAGAGCTTTACTCTCTCTCTATCTCTCTCTCTCTTTCTCTCCTTATCTTGCTCGTGCTCACTGTCTCTCATCCACCATGTTCTCTGCTCTCTCTTCTCTCTTCTCTTTCTTGTTTGTTCCACGCTCTTTTCCCCTGCTGAGTGTGTGAGCGTCTGGCTGTGTGTGACAGTCCCCCTTCCTTTTCTCCATTCTGACTTTTTTTTTTCTTTAAGTCTCTGCACTGCTACTGCAAGTGGATGTATGCTCTTTTAGTTCAGGGGAGCTCAACTCTTCACAGCCATACTATTAAACCATACAGCTAGTTGTTCAGGAACCCAACAGTGGATTGAACTGAATTGGCAAGAAGTGATATGCACATGTCTTAGAACAGTGCTTTAATGCAGTATTTTGTCTTAGAAAATAGAGCCTGGCCGATATATCATTTGATTGCTAAAATCTAACATTATAGGAGCACTATACGATTCTGGAGAACGACTGTTGATATTTGAACTCAACAGCAAACAAAGCACAACCTACCCTTCAGTGCTTCTTCAGAAACTCCGCCCCCCAAATTCGTGGACATGCACTGTCAAGGACAACATGCCTTTTATGATCTTTGTGGCCATAAAACCTTTCGCTAACCTTGTACACACAAATACCATGATATAATGTTAGAGTGAACAAGACACAGCAAGTAATGTAGCTAACGTTAGCTCGTAGTGGTTAGCAAACGGTCACCACAGTTTTTGCTGTGAAGCTAACCAGTTGCTATCACAAACATTAGAAAATTGGACAAAACAATGCTTAACTACTGATTCTGTGTCCAGCCGGAGCAACCTCCTCATCCCTTTTCAGGCATTTCAACTCACAATGAAGCTGAAGTCAGCTTCTTTTTCACCAGCTTTTTGTTCGAATATTCCCGTTCCGCCTTAAATTGTGCCCTCACACTGTGTGGTCACTGTTTAGGGAGGGCAAAACAAAACGTGGGGAGGGCCAACATGTTTATAGGGCGGGGCTGACATGTATGCGTGGCTGTCTATGGCTATGAAAACAAAAACAGAGAAGCTCAGATTACAGCACACGCAGAGGCGTCGTGCCTTCATTCTCTGCTCAGGACGCCGTAACTCCACTATGTCTTTACATAGAAAATAGTTGCTTACTGCTATATTAATGTTTAAAATGTCAAATATAATACCTTTAAGGTTACACATACTCATTGTTATCTGAAAAATATATATAAATGACTTGTTTTATATTCCAATGATCATGCAGCTATGATATGAGGGACATTTATAGTTTTTATGGCTGGTTTTTCTGGTTAAAATAACAAAAACTTGTCATTGCATCTAAACCTAAACCTGTGCATGAAGATTTATATCACAAACCTTTATGTGAAGAGAACTGATGAAAAATAAGAACCAAGTAACAGAAACCAACAAAAACACAAAAATTGCTATTATTGTTTCATATGGGCACATAGACTGTCCAGTTCTGACATACATAGAGCATTTACTGTTAATGGATCGTCATTTTGTTTACATTATGAGCAGTTATAAGTTTACAAGTTTATAAATTTCTCTTCCATTTTTTGCGTGATACTAGATACTGGGAGCAGCAACAAAATGGCAGTATGAACAAACATTCAAAGAGCAGAGGCTGGGCACCTCAGACCCCCATGTCCACTGTTGGTCCAAGGAATTTGTTTAAGGCAATCATTTAGATTGTTGCTACACCATGTTATAGTCCATTTGCATAAAGTTGAGAACATTTCAACTCAACTTGTCACCCTGCCACTGTGTTGTTTGCCGCTGGCTGCCAAATTGCAGCTACAAATCGCATACTCGCACAGGAAATGACTGGTCGCCTGTCGCTCTATCACCTGCTACTGTAAATGTACAGCGAGAACTGACAATCGTATCAGTTGGTACAGCACAGTTTAACTAAAGCTATTGGAGTCTGTTCACATTTTGACTGTGTATATCAGTTATCAGAAATTTTAGCTTCTTTAAATTGTCCTTCTGCTTGAATTAGTGAAAGAATTTTCATATCGGTCGGGCCCTATTAGAAAGTCCCAGCTTTGAATTTTTCCAGATCTCCAGCATATTGTATTACTAAATTAGAAGTCAGCAGAGTGGAGCTCCTGTGACCTGTTGAGGCACCCTCATGGTTATGTGTACATGCTTTTCTCCACTCTCCTGTCAGTGTCAGTCTCTCACCGACGCACTTTGGTTGCAGACTGTAGCCTATAGAAGTGAATGTGACTGTTTGAATACTGTTATGTCTCCGTATTTGTACACTGTTGTTTCGGGCAAAACGTTTTGTGTGCTTCAAACTGAGAGGATACATAGTGGAAAACTGCAGCTTAGCCCTGTGTGGCCCGCTGAGTGAGAAAACAAATTTTACAGCTAGACTCTCACAAGCACACAGATGGTTTTGGCTGGAGGCGTCTTGCTGGCCTGGGTTGTTATTTTTTTAAGTTACTGCAGAATGGTGTTGCGTTTCTAACGGCCCTCCTGACTCCCCTCAGCGTCTGGTGAAGATGAACATGCCCATCGCCGACGACAACACGGTGCACTTCACCTCCACACTCATGGCCCTGATCCGCACTGCTCTGGAGATCAAGCTGGCCTCAGGTAAGTCGCATGACCTTTGTTCTGTCCGAGCATGCAGTCTACTGTATAGGGCTGTAACTAATGATTATTTCTATAATCACTTAATCTATCAACTATTATTTGATAATCATTTAATTAAACCATCGTGCCTTCTGCTTCTTCATCTCACTTTGCTACAGTGCGTGGTCATTTAAAGCTCTGTCAGAGCCAGTTAACAAGGATCCTGGCCTCTTCCTATTTCCCCTGTTCATATCAAAAACAGAACTGCAGAACGCCAGAGGGCACCCGAGCGAGTCCTCGATGAATGGGGGTGAAGAGAGCTAAACAGTTTCTAATCACTTGCCCAGAACTTTCCTTTAATTTTAGAAAGTAGAAGAATGTGTTTCACTAAAAAAACAAAGAAAACTCACCTGTATTTTTCCTTTTTTTTTCAGTGAAAAAGTTTTGGGCAGCAAAACGCTAACATTACTGCTACTGAGTGCTCATTGGCTGTTAAGCTCTTAAAAATATAATAGCGGTGTAAAAATGTTTTATGCTGTTCTGGAAATGAATGTATTTTATGTTAAAAATGTTAAAAGCATTTTTAAACTATGAGTTTGCTCAAATGCTCAGGGCCGCCCTCTAGCGTTTGAGAAACCCGGAAGACATTACAGAGTGGTTGTCCTCTCTACAAGTTCTCTGGTTCTGTCTAGACAACACAATTTGTTCTTGTATGGTTCAATTAAACAATAAAATTCATGTCGCCCTCTAGCATGCAGCTGTGCAAATGTGCTATAGTGATACTGGCATATGTGCCTGTGCGCAGGTCAATGCTGTTAGCCACTATTTTGTCCTAAAAGTGCTGTGAATACACATGTCTATGAACAGGCTCACCTGGTCTTCAGATTCGAGCATTCAGCAAGTATGTTTCTGAAAAAGTCAACATCTGGTTTATCCAACCGCTGTGGCCATCAGAAAAAGTTGTGAAAATTGAACTCTTGACAAAACATTCACTTAACGCTATGGTCAGTGGAACGTTTTCACTAGCAATCATGGAATTTTTGCGGCCTCATTAAAAACAATGCAGTATGCTGTCATCTGTCTACCACCAACATGTAAACGCAGCATAACAGACACAAATCAACTCAGGAAGAGCTTTTTAATTAGTTGAATTAGGTGTGTTAAAGCAGGGAAAACATGACTGTATTTCAGCTGTGATAAAGTGAACTGAAGAACAGGCCCTGTTAATATTTAATGATTAGCTGTGACAGAGTTGTGGAGACATATGCAGACTTAATTTTGTTCCCTTCGTTGAGTGTTAGTAGTGTGCTTAGTGCCATGTGTCCCATCAGGACTCATTAGAGAGGTGTGAGCGTGTGTGTGTGTGTGTGTGTGTGTGTGTGTGTGTGTGTGTGTGTGTGTGCGAGTACGTCTGCTGAATCACAGTGGACTGCCCGATGGCTTTTTAATGCTTGACTGCGCAGTCCTTTTCACTGCCTCAGAGGAACACTGTACCTGCTCATCCCCAAAAAATACTGAAGAAATTCCATTAGAAATGAGTTTTGTTTGTACATTGAGCTCAGTTGAAGATCCATAAAGAATGTGTTTTTGATAAGGTTTTGGATTTCTGACAGGTCAAAGACTATCTTATAATATAGGATAAATTTCACTTGATATTCCAATGATGACTGAGCTGTTTCAACAGCTGAATCACCCCCAAGCAAACTGCCTTCAGGCCTCTGGGAGAGATTTGAGAATGATTCTATTAGAAGTTGGTCAGTTGGTCAGCACAGGATGAAGCATTGTTCCATTCTATGTGATTCCAAGCTGCATTATTATGGGGTTACCTGTAACAGTCTAAGAGGTTGTCCCTGATGTGCCTCTCTGGGAGCTGAGCACCTTCTCTGTGGCTGTTCTCTGCAGGAATGGTGGCCCAGCGTCTGTGTGACGCCGAGCTGAAGAAGGAGCTGGCCACCGTCTGGCCAAACCTGTCCCAGAAGACCATGGACCTGCTGGTGACTCCCCACAAACGTAAGCACCACTTACCATCACCTAGACATGCAATTAAAAAAAGTGAAGTTAATTGACTTGAACTCAGTCCAGAAAGCTGTGCCTCTATTGCCATCTAGTGGTCAGAAGCTGAATGTTTTCTCTGTCACCCTTTCAATCATATGACCCTCCCGGTAGGCTGTAGAAGTCCTTGCGTGTCTGAATAGCCAGGATAAAGATGTACATTTGATTTATGATTCATGATTTAACTAATTTATGATGCATTACTGTTTCCTGCAGCCAATGAGTTGACAGTTGGGAAAGTGTATGCTGCCCTTATGATCTTTGACTACTACAAGCAGAACAGAGCCAAGAGACTACAGATGCAGCAGCAGCAGGCCAAAGAGCAGACAGGACCTGGCCCACAGGTGAGATACCACACATACCCACCTCTGACCCTAATAGCTATTCCTGAGTTGCAAAATGTGACAAAGCAAACTCATCTGAGCAACATGAAAAAGAAGGAAATGTTCAGTTTCATTGCCTTTCCTGTTAGCAATGTCAACAGTGAACATACAGTGCAGCAACTCCGAATGCAGTTTGCAGAGCAATTGCTAGTTTCCTCTTCAGTACACAAATTTGGACACACCTACTCATAATAGTTTCCCTATTTTTAATATTTTCTGCATTCTAGAATAATAGTAAAGAAATCAAAACTATGAAACAGAGACTAAACAATGTTTTAAACAAATCTAAATATATCTGTTTTAGATTGTTTTAGAAATTAGCTCCCTTTTGCCTTAATGCAGCTTTATATACTCTTGGATAATCTTAGATAATCACTCAATCCTAACTATATGCCAGTATCCACAAGAGTAAGAGCTAAACGTGTGCATTATAAACAATAGCTTACTCATTTTCATGCAGAAGCCGTGAAGAAAAAGGCAGCCGTCCCACTGCATTGGATTGGCTTGTGCTTTGGACGGTGTCAGAAAGGCACCAGTTACATTATTGTGTATCAGAGTTTCTTTCTCCTCTCTCTCCTCTGTATAGAATAAAGTGGGAGCTCTCCTGGAGCCCATCCTGCCTTTGACACCCATGCAGGAGAAGACCAAGAGCACAGTCGACTGCCCATCAGACAGCCAGCCTCACAGACCCAGCTCTACCACACTTAACAATGGACGCACACTGTAGGCTCTAATCACTGCACATCCACATACTCAACCATACATACAAAATGCTTAATAGAACACATGGACTGTATCACAAACTGTTTATAAAGCTTAGACTTGATTTCTTGATGTAAACTTTGTTTTTCTTTAAGTGCATATTTAAATCATTATTACCCTTTTTTATCCTCTGTTATGTAGTAAATCTAGCCATGATAATGCCATCAAAGGCTCCTCATCCTGGGTGTCAGAGAAAACCAAGGAGGTCCATAGATCAAAGAGACGACCGATCTCGAGAGGCCAGTCCGAGGACATCTCAAATGCAAACACTGCCCAGGTATTCTGTCTTAAAGAGCTTTCCCTCAATCCTTAGTTACAGGCTAATTTGGTTTTATTTCAGTTGTGAGAGTTTGTGTGTGTGTTTGTGGCAGGTGTCAGTAGAGATGAGGAAGATGGAGAACAGTGCCAACACAGTAGCACCTTCTGGTTTAGATGGTCAAGGGCGTGCAGTGTCCATGCCCAAACTCAACGCAGAGATGCAGGTACCCTGCTAGATTGAGGATTTTCTTATTTTTTTGCATTAAAATACTCCATACTCTTAAAAAACTATTTTTTTTCCCGTAACGTCTCTGTGACTTGGCATAATGTTTAGGCCTAAGGTCAAAATCTTAAGCTCCTGTGCAGAGAGTTGAGAAAGCATCCACCACACACATATTTCTCTTACCTGAATTTCCCAGTGGATAGACTCATCAGGAAACATAATACTCTCGTTACCTGAGATAAGGCAATATTGATGTATTGTTGCACAAAAGTGCTTTGGTTTAACGGGCCAGTTCTAATGAATATGGGATATTTGGGCTTTGGAGGGCAGGGAGAAAAGTACAGCATAACGTGATTAGTCTTTGGAAGGCTGCCAACTATGTGGCCTGTATTGACTTTATGCTCAAGCTAAGAGATGGAAAGTGGGCAGTGGAGTATCTTTCTGCTCAGGCTAAGAGATGAAAATTGGACAGTAGGTACTCAAGATCAGAGGGTCCATTTAATGCCATTAGATGCGTTCCTGCACTATTCATTTTTCTTTCTCTTCATTTTGATTGGCATTTGGTCACTGTGGTTTTAAACCTTTTATCAAGTTAAAATGGATTATTTATCAGTTGGAGATTTCAAAAACCTTCAGATTGAAGAAAATATTACTTTGAGCTAAAGTTCCCAGCCATGAAGAATGATCTTTGAGACTCAAGGCTTTACATGAGGCCTTCTTGAATGACTTTTATTTTTTAAATTTCATAGTCCTATGCACAGTCCTATGCACTGTTCTATACCTTTAACATGGTTCTTAAAAGGTTCTTTAGTAAAAGCAATGGTCTTATGTAGAACCATGAACAATCAAAGAAGCATTTGATTTGAATATAGATAGATAGATTTTACTGATTTTACCAGTGATATTCAAACATGATTAAGAGGCTCTCATTGCCCACTCTCCCTGCCAAGATTCCAGTGCAAAGCAACAAAGTGAGAGCTTGATTATGACCTGCCTTCCGACACCTGACACCCTTCCCACACTTCTGCAGTGTAATGAGATGATATAACAGCTTCAAAATGTTGGGGGTTTCTCCTGTTTCACACCCAAATCAGATTCCCACCCAGAGCCAGACCTCAGGAAAGTGCTTGGCAGGCTGATAATAACCATTAGCTTTGGACTGTGAGGTTTCAGCACCTGCTCAAACATCTAAAATCCCTCTGATTCCATTCCGGGGAAACCCCTCACCCAATCTAGCTCTGGCCTGAGTCCAGGCCTGCAGCTTGGTTTACAACAACAAAAGCTCCACAGCCTCGCACATTTGCAGAGTGTTTCAGTCTCACTGGCCAAAGAGCACGAGACCTGCTGTTGTCAACACTTGACCAAGCACATGAAGAGCTTGTTAACTGGGTAATGAGTTAAATCAGGTGCGCTCGATGAAGAAAAGGACAAAAAATGTGTATAGTGTAGGGCCCCCAGGACTGGAATTGAGAACCTCTGCTTTAGCCTAAGGGTTTTATTCTGTAGCATTCAATTTCATTCACTACAAATGATGAAGCGAGTGTGGGCATAAGAGTAAGATTGTTCTGTCTGTTTTTCAACATTACATCCATTAAAAAAACTTTCTTAAAACATTTTCATTAAGACAAATTACTTACCATGTATAATGACTTTAGTTCTGTGAAATTAATTTCACTTGATAACATGATTTAAAGTACTGTCTTGAAATAGATTGGATATTTTTACTACAATCTTATAATTATCTCAGTATGTGTAATATTATATAGACACTATGTGTCCAAAAGTTTGTAGATACCAGCTCATTCGACATTTCTTCTGAAATCAAGGGCATTAATAGGGAGTTTGTCCCCCTTTGCCGCAGTAACAGACTTTTCTGGGAAGGCTTTATACCAGAATTTGCAGCATTGCTGTGAGCATTTGATTGCATTCAGCCACAAGAGCATTACTGAAGTCAGGTACTGATGTTTTGTATCACAGATGCCACTTCAAATCATCCCAAAACTATTGGACTGCCCAGAGCATCCAGTTCTATTGGCAGTACTTTCCTATGGAGATTATACAAGCTGTCTGTGTGCAGTTGCACACCTGTGTCAGCAATGGGTGCACCTTAAAGTAGCTGAATTCACTAATTGGAAGGGGCATTTGAATATGTATAGCGTGTATTGCCTTGGTCAAAGATGTCCTCCATGCCGCTTTGTTATGTTTTGCATTGTGCGCTCATCACGAAACTTTAGAATCTGTGATTTTGCATGTGACATCAATGTGTCATGTTATAGTTGTGTAATAAACAAATCATTTCCCCTTCTTCCCTCTGATGCTCTCCTCCATGGCACTGACAGAGAAGTCATTCTCGCCACTCTCCCGGAACTTTACTAGCAGTATGTATTGTTTTGAATCCTAATTAGTTTGCAGTCAAGAATACTGAGAACATGCTTAATAGCTTCACACAATCTATTACTATATTTACAGTATCACTGGGTGCTGTTTAAAACAGAAGCTTAAATTATAAGTAGTGTTTTACCCCGTTATTAGTAGGGATTTCAGGATTAGCCAATACAGACAGGTTGTCTGTTGTTAAACAAGGCATCAAAGAGACAGAGCAGATATGGTGTCTCAGAGGATGCCTTACCTTTAATCATTCCAGCTGACTCTCAAACACAACAACCACTTAAACACAGCAGCTGATAGCAATATGTTTTTAATGCTAAGTCCAAAGTGCAGGTCATGGCTAAAATGAATCTGCTTTATAGCAGGCTTGTGCAGGTGTCCTAGATATAACACCCTTGTGACTGACCTTTAACGCTTTTATATTGTAGTTTGCCTTAAGTGTCACTCTAATAAGTATTTCTAGCATGCGACTGACTTTAACTCTGCTTAGGTTTTCAGACAGGGAGATAAGGCCTCTTTGCAAATATGGTCATTTGGCTCATCAGCAGAGGGCAGTATTGAGGCACTCAGAACTGGTCCTGCTCTAAAATACTGTTATAGTGCCATTCAGATAATAGTTTATACAGTTATTTATAGAGATGGCATTGATCTGATACCATGTATCACTATGAGGCTGACATAAGCAAAAATTGCTGGATCAGATATCAGAAAAAGTAGTTTGAATATGATAACCGACATTTAAATGCTCATCTTAAGTGAAGTTCTTCAATTAAATGTAGCTCATTTTAAAGCTTAGCCGTTTATAAAGAAAATATTGGATTGCAAAAGAAAAGTGGCATTGTGCCAACTGTATATCATTAGTTTTGTGGCTAGGCCAATCAGAGTGCTCAGGTTTTTCTGTATAGTTCAGTCATGCTAGTAGAGCCATGGAACGTCAGCCTTACTCACCAGGTTTCTTATGTTCCTGATTAAATCTATGGGTTGTTCCAAGTCAGTGTGGTTCTTGACTCACACACTAACCAACTAATTTCTACACCAACTGTAATTATTTATTAATATTTCCTCTGTTCCTCTCACAGCCTATTCCTGACTCCCCTATGAGGCGCTCTGCATCCACATTTGCACCGCAGCGCCCTCCGGAGGTTAACTTGAATGAATACGCCCTAGAGAAGCCTGTTCAGGAGCGACCACACCACCATCATCATCATCACCGCTGCCACCACCGCAGAGACAGAGAGAAAAAGCAGAGGTCACTGGACAGGTCACCCAGTGGCCAGCCTCCTAGCACTGGCGGTCAGTGAAGACATGCATCCAGGCACACAGCTCACAGCCACATACAGGCTCAAAACATAACCCTCATAAGTTTGTTAGCACTGGTAAGCAATGTAGTAAGCAATGACTTGTAACATTAGACCCTTGAGGGCTCATGGTCCAGTATGGCACAGAGAGATCAGGAGGATGGTCAGGGTCATACAAATATAACATATTACATATTTTTCCTCTGATGTATTTCTTTTACACAGGGCAGAGGCTATACACACCCAGGTCACGTATTGACTGCAAAAGCAGGCTAGCTCTCTGACATATCAAGAGAATTAGAAAGCCCATATGAATGCCTATCAGATGTGGCAAGTTAGGTCTGTACATGGTATGGTGTCTTCTCAAAAAACTTTCTGAAGGTCCTCATTAAATGAACATAAACACCTTTGGGCTATTTCCTCTGATATCAGTTGCTTAAAAATGCTGATTTAGCATAGGCTTAGCTACCTCGAGGTCCTAGAAGGATGATGGTCTAGATATGATTGGCTGGATTTGGTCTATCCAATAACCTATAATGTTACACCATATTATAAAGAGTTCCTCTCAATGGTGATTACATGAAATATTGTTTGCATCATGCACAATGCACATTCTGCGCAATATTCTAGCAATGAAAGAATCATTTTTATCTGAAACATGGAACAGATGAATAATTTCTGAGAATGAGTTGTGACACTGAAAACGATGGTGAAACAGTCCCAGGAAATATGAGGTATCTGGTCACTCTAGCTTTACTACTGTTTGAAACATCTCATTACCATCTTTTCAATTCCACTCAATGTAGTTTGTATATCACTTTTTTAGGGTGGAGGAGCAGACATTAGAGTTAGTGAACAGGTGGAGTTGTTAGAGAAGAGTTGGGAAGGTATGTAGATTCTGGAATCAGTTTCTCTGAGGAATTCCTGCCACGCCAGTGAGTACAGAAGTTCTAGCAAGAGCTGGTACATCTCAGAAAATAAGAGACAAGCCTCATCTCTCAGAGACCAGCCTATACCGCTGTGCACTTGTTCTGCAGATTTCAGCCATAGCTCACATGTGCTGGAGATCAGTGCAGCTTCCCCCCAGCATCAGCAGTAGGATCTGCAGCAAGAGCTTTAACATGCAGCTGGCATCCATTACCCAGATAAAAGGGGCTGACAGACATGCTGCAGACCCAGTGACCTGCTAATTTATGGCCACCTCTCAGCGGGCCAACCATACACACTGGGGAAAAATGTCGGAACTCACAGAAAAAAAGGACAGAACAAGAAGCACAGTCTGCTGTGTAAAGAATGTGGAATTCCGGAGGGGAGGTGGGGCTAGGATGATCAGCGCTTCCGCACATGTTGTAGTTCCCTTTTGATCCAGAGTGATCAATCAGTGCTGCAGGCTTTTGCTCCTGTTTATCATAACTAAATTTGAAGTGAACTTCATCTAAAATCATTTTAACATAATCAGTTGCAGATATATTGATTGAGTGGTATTAACTAGCATGTAGTTGTCTCTGAATTGACTTACTGTAGCTAAGCTACAATCTTGTAGGCCCTGATCTCAAGCCCCTAAATAAAAATGCTACAAACGTTTTAGTCTTTTTTTTTTTGGAACAAATGCCAAACACATGCTCAAACATTTGTTTACAAGAATAGTGGTTTGCATTTTCCACAGTGACAAATTCTGGTTTATAGCACAGTGAGAAATAAGAGGTTTATAGCTTTAGGGTTCTTTGGTTAAAGGCTTTTAAACTGTGGATTTTTCCATGCCTTGTAAATAAAGAAATATCTATTATTACCAAGGAATCTGTGGTTGATGTCCTTGCCAGTTTATCCAAGCTAAAGTAAACACTGAATCTGTAAGTAGTAACAAGAGATTGAGATTTTTGTTTTACTGATTTCCATGCTTTGATTGTTTTCCTTGAACTGCTCAAATTTTGGGTTCGTTCTCAGGCACGGGAGCCGACCTTGGGGGAGCCCTCTCGTCCCGGGAGAGGGGGCACGATCGAGGCCGTTCCCACGAGAGGAAGCACCATTCGTCCACAACGGAGAAGCAGCGCTACTACTCTTGTGACCGCTACGGCAGCCGGGAGCACTGCCCTGCCAAGCCTGCCCCAGCCAGCTGCGCCACCTCCCCTGGAGAGGCTCAGGAGACCACTTTCAGCAAGCAGGTGGGATGAGGGAGGCAGCTAGTCAGAAGGTCTATGCTGAGCTGGACACTAGAGATGCAGTTTATGATCAGTAATGGTTCTGTGTGGGTATTGAGTCAGTGGATTGAGATTGAGGCAGTATTAGGGAGATTGTATTCTCTTGCTAAGGATATTATTAACAATATAGAACTGACAGCACGGTGATTTATAATCTATGAGTTTAACTTTTTACTGTTTGCCAAATGAAACTCACTCTCTGTTCTCTTTGCCCTTAGTGCAACCACTCATGGCCTTTCACTCTTTCTACTCTTTTCTTCTTCTTCACCATTTCTCTGTGCATTTTGTCTGTCTTTCCTTTCTTTTTTCTCACTATCCTGTTGGCTCTGTCCTTTGGTCCTCTTTGTCTTTTGTGTACATGTACTGTGTCTCCCTTCTGTTCCTTTTCCTGTTTCTTTCTTTTCCTTTCCTTTCCTTTCCTTTCCTCTCCTGTCCTTCCCTGTCCTTTCCCGTCCTTTCCTGTCCTGTCCTTTCCTTGTCTTTTCCTTTCCTTTCCTTTCCTTTCCTTTCCTTTCCTTTCCTTTCGTTCCTTTCCCTGTCTTTTCCTTTCCATGGACCTGTTCCTCTCCTTAACCCTTTTTGTACACGTTACCCTCATCATTTTTATTGTTTTGATTTGCTTGTTCAATTTTCACCTAGGGCAGTGGTTGGGTTAAAGGGAGCCCGGTGTTGTTGAGCTCAGGGGCAAGCACGCCCAGTCGTGGGCGCAGGCAGTTGCCCCAGACACCCCTGACCCCGCGTCCGGCGGTGGCGTACAGGACCGCCAACTCCTCCCCTGTGTCCTTCACGGGCACCCAGGCCACTCTGCCTGCCCCCCCGATCCCCGGCAGGCTGAGCCGCGGGTTGTCCGAGCACAACGCCCTCCTGCAGTGTGGCTCCGGCCCCAGCTCGCCCTCCCCCGTTACCCGGATCAGCTCCGAGCCCTTCCTGGGCCCACCCCCGCTGGACACCCGCTGCAGCCTCCGGCCCCAGGTCTCCAGCTTTTTCCAGGAGCCTGCAGGCCGCTCACCCTGGACCGCGGGGCAGCAGATAGTCACCCTCCCTCCCCTGCCCCAGCAGCAGCAGCCGCCCCATGGGCTACCTAACGGGTACCACTACGTCCTGGGTGTACCCAGCAGCGACAGGGCCCCACCCTACTACCCAGAAGCAGAGGAGGACGAATGGTGCTAGTATGGCTTTAACACATACACACACACACACACACACACACACACACACACACACACACAGAAATACACAAATACACACAGATCCTCTGCTGATGATGATTTTTAGTGTGTTTTTTTTTCGTTTCTTGTCAAATTTCGATGAGTTTTATCATCTCTTGTTTCATGGACAATGTACATCACTTATATGTGGACATTCTTTTGCTTTTAAATTTGCAAGGGAGGGAAAACAGAGGCTACATGTACATTCTACAGAGAAAAAGAAAGTACCAGACTGCTTTTCTTCTGGTTGTATTCAAATCTATCCAAACCCCGATGGGGTTCTTGAATTCTGACAGATCATGATGTTTGAGATATAGGGGTTATTTCTCCTAATTCCTCGCCTTTCTGAGAGAAAATGCAGTCTAAGTGATGTCAAAAAAGTGGGTGTAGTCTGGGAAAACAGTGACCCATAGAGCTCTGCTTTTTAGAAGGCAGAGTTCTGCAGGGCTCTGGCCAGCTGTTCAATGAGCTGTGCCTGCAAATGCCCCCCAAAATGCAAAATCCCATGAAAAATGATACTGTCTGGGATTTCTACATGTAACTTATAGTGCTGAAAAACTCTAAAGCAACATTATCTGTTTTGTGGGTGTCCCTTTCTCAGACAAAATGGACCATGCCTGCAGGCTGTGTGTGACCCACACACGTTACACACACACGCATACATTTATTTTACACTGTCCATGAAGGTGATGATTGTTGTTTTGCTGCTGATGACCATTCCTAGCACATATCACTGTGTGTGACAATGTCGAGGACATGGCGAAATATGAAATGTAATTTTTTTTGTATCAAACTGTTGTAGATCTTTTATCTATTCATTATGTGCGTTTTTTTGTATTATATTGTAAAGATATTATGGTGTTTTACGTAAATTGCTTACAGTTTCACCATCCTGTCAGGTCTACCGTTTCTTACAGACTGCTCCAGACGTTCTTACAAAGTGCCTAACCTTTTGAATATATCGTAGTAATGATGCGACCTCAGACTTTTTTAATGCATCAACACATATGAGAGAGGGGACTGAGTAAGCTAGGGGCTACCTGGAACTACAAGGTGTTATGACTGTAGGCCTTAATCGGGAAGCAAAAGAAACCGTACCTTCAGTTTCGAATTAGGTTTTGAATGAAAATGACAGTATGATTGTGTTCATTTATTTCCCTCATTTTCTAGTAGGGCCTTTGTTTCTTTTCGTACACTGTAGAATATGGAATGGGGGAGGGGTAAAAGCTTAGTTAAAAAATCTAAATACTAGTTAGGGCAAAATATGAAGACTAAAGTAGATGTATATCAGTCCAGGGCGGACCACATAACCACACAGTTACACAATTGCATGATTTTAAAAATGACTGAGTTGGCGAAGGAGATGAACAATTCCCCTTCTGGTGGAGAAGCTCAGCTGGGACAGCATTGCTAGCTATTTGCCTTATCTTATCTAATGATACATAAAGACCAGAATGAGGAGACTGCAGCAAAAGCCGGAGTGACAGTCACTCTCAAAGATAAAGGTTCCTGAATGGTTCTTGCATAGGACATATGGTTTTAGGGGAAATCTTTAAATCGTACCTTTACATCATGTGGAAATTCTTAAACTTTGGGCCAGAATGAAAACTGTAACCATTGCTATATCTGCTTTAAACATGCCTACTGGCTTCCAAGTGTGCCACAGTAGTCCAGAGAGAGATTTTTTTAGGTTTGAAGACTAGGAAAATCCACTTCACATCATGATCTTGAAGGTGGGACGAACGTTTAAAAAACTAGTAGTACTTTGGGAGGACGGACTGACTGAAATGCTTTTTGTTCCGCTAGCAGGATAAGGCAGATTGAAGCCAGAAAGTTAATGTTACTACTCGAAAGTTGATCATCACATCTGTATTTTTTACACCCTACATGATTAAATTTCTTTATGCAGTGGAAAAGATTCCTAGTGTATGAGACATTTTGCGCAGTGCATTCTGAGCATTGTAATGTGATGCATGAAAACAAAAAGGGGACAAAATTGTGATGTCTGTCAAGCTGATGAGGCTGACAGACACAGTGCTGTGCTACTTAGTGAGAATTCTTCACACTCGCCCTCATTTACTATGGCATCCTCTGAAGAACCCTTTTTGCCACCTTTATTTTTCAGAGTGTAGCTGAGCTGAAGAAGCAGAGTTAGTACAATGGGCTTTCCTGTGTTTAGGTAAAAGTTTCCCTTCCATGACACTGGACCAGGTACTGCCCCTGAAACCCCCTCCATCCAGCACTTTCACAACCCCCCTAACCGTCCTGCTGCTGGCTGTATAGCCATTCAGCTAGCTCGCTTTTATCCCGCCCATAACACAAGAGGAATATTTAGCCATGATGATTGCTGAATGGAGAAGCAGTATCAGTGTTGGAAGCTGCCTGAGAAAAAAACGAAAAACAGGCAAAATCAAAAGCCCCGCGAATGGGATCTTGTTGAGAGGAGAGAGTGAGTCAGAATGGCTTTAGGATACCTGAGCTGGCTGAAGAAACTCAATTACAGCAAATCTCACTTCGCAGTGTCTGAGCGCCACCACTTTTTTTTGTAGCACTGCAGATCTAACTTGGTGTCCATTTAGCTGCTTAGCATGCAGTAAGCAACTGGGGGGAAAGTAAGAGGCTAGGGACTGTATGCCTCAGCCATTGAAATGGCAGGACTTTACTGAAAGAGAGGACTTTTTGACTTTTGTTTAAGTAGGGCTATGCAACAAGAAGACACTTTTGACAAATAAAATAAATAAAATAAAAAAAAAAATCTCAACACTTCATTCATTCTGTAGCTTTACTTGCTGGGATGTCCAGATTCAGCCTTCCGCATGATTGTGACCAAATCTTTTCTATAAAAAAACAATTTAAAAAAATGTATGAAAAAGTATATTTTAGAATGCATAAAGGCACAATGATGAAACAAGCAGTAACGTCTTTAAGAAAAAAAGCTGCAATCTTACGTATCTGCATGCATCAGTTACCCACTTACATCGTACAAGACAAGCAGGTGTTTTAAAAAGAGAAGCAGAACAGTGGATATTTTTATATGTGCACTCTTACGCGGGAGAGTGCTTCATTTAAAGGCCGTACTGAAACTGTTCCGATGACTCCGAGTTGTCGCTTTGTTCATGTTGAAGTGTGGAACAACTTCTTTGCACTCCTGATACATCCACTGTCCTTTGGCATGTCGCCATCGTGGCTTCAAATCGTAGTTCATATATACTCCACCTAATCCATAACTGCAGATTTGTTATTATTTGGGGGGAGAGAAATCACCTTCAACCCCCGAAAACTTTCACAGTTTGTTGCCAAACTCTGAAATGCTCCAAGTCCTTTCTGCACATCCAGTTTAATGTGGCTGTTCTCCTTGGGAAAAAACGTAATGTTTGCATGGTCTGACAATGTATGTGCATGTTGAACTACACATTGTTTATCTTCGTACTTTTTTGATACACTATATTCTTTCTGTTCGGATTTTTAAATGACCTTTGATATGAATTAGGGGGTTTGTTGAGGGGGAAAAAAGAAAAAAAAACAACAACTTTCTATAAACTCAGTATTGAACATTGTGGACAGCTCCTTCCACGGGACGGAGCTGGAACACCCTTTATCTGGATTCTGCGACTGACTTGTTTGTTGCCTGATTTCTGTTCTATGGCCAGACTTTGAATTCTGCAGTTGTTTCTACCTTAACATTTTGTATGAAGCAAAGTCCTTGAATTAAAAAAAAGAAATCAGACATTGTGGAGTCTCATTTATTGTGCTGTATTCAGTATTAGTGTTTTTTTTTGCTGTGCTTGAAGTTCTTCAAGGTTTATGTAAATGAAGGTCTTGTAGTCAGAACCATAGCTTAACTCACATAAGCCTTTTGGGTTGTTTCAAGTGACCATTTCCTACTTTCTTAGTCTCTACAAGACAAGTCTAGAAACAGTTATGAGGCTCTGAACAGGCTAATATCCATAATAAATGATAAAATATTGTCTAGCGTATTCTGTATGCATGCATGCGTATAATAATTAAGTAAGTAAATATACACCGAGTGGCCACTTCTTTAAGCACACCTCCTTGTATCTACATTCATAGTCCATTGAATCAGGTCCACTTACTATATAGGACCTCTTTGTAGTTCTACAATTACACACTATAGTCTGTGTGCTTCTCTGCATCTTTGTTAGCCCCTTTTTACCCTATTCTTCAGTGGTCAGGACCCCCACAGAACCACCACTGAGCAGGTATTATTTGGGTGGTGGCATCAGTGACACTGCAGTGCTGAGAATGATCCACCACCCAAATAATACCTGCTCTGTGGTGGTCCTGTGGGGGTCCTGACAACTGAAGAACAGGGTAAAAGGGGGCTAATAAGTATACAGATGGACTGCAGTCTGTAATTGTAGAACTACAAAGTGCTCCTATTTGATAATTAGAGCTGATAAAATGGACAAAGAGTGTCACAAGGAGATATACTTAATAAAGTGGCAGTGTAAAAATAAATAAATAAACAAACAAAAAGATTTGCTTTGCAACTTGGTCAGTATGCCACTTTCTATCAGTTCAATACGACCACGCCCACCTCGCAGGCAGCAGCCAATCAGCTTTTTAGACGAAAGTACGCGCCAGTGATGGTAAACTAATAATAAAATAATATAATAATTTTAATTTTGTATTTTATAACAATATGCATATTAAAATTATTTTATAAGTATTGCAAACATAACAAAAATAATAATACTTATTATTGTTATCATTATTAAGAGTAAGTATAATTAATAGTAGTAGTAGTAGTGGTGGTGGTGCAGCTCAGACACGTACAGTCTTCGAAAAAGCTGATTGGTTGTCGCCTGTGAAATGGGCGTGGTTGACAGGACTGATAGAAAACGGTGCACTTGCCAAATCCAAGTTGTTGGCGGAGCAGAGCAACCACAGATAGCAAAGCCACACTGCTGGTTCAGGCTTGTTCCCCATTTAACAATGATTAGGATGGAGTGTTGGACATGTCAAAGCAATAGTTTAAAATAGAACAGGCATTTTTTCCAGGTGTACACTTCATACCTTTGTTGTCAAGCCCAAGATGGAAATAAGGTCGTTTCCAACGTTTCTGAGTTTGTCTCTGGCTCTTCATGTCCTGAGTGTTTGCATTAACGCTTTTCTTCTGGACTGGACTGAAGTGGGGTCTGGGCTTCCGGACACAGGTAAGAGCACAGTTCACCTTGAACTCAGTGTTGGAAGAGACTGACTTCATCATTAACGACTGAATTAACTGATCTGAATTAAGCCTGAGTGAACTGCTTTTATGTTTTTAGACTTGCTGATGTCTTTCATAATAAATGCCGTTTGAAATCTGTATGAAATATACTTTTGAAATGCACTGATCAGCTTAGAAGCGAATATTTAACCGAAATGGGTCGCGTTTCACCTTGAAAAGTTCATTCAGACTTCAGCGTTGGCTCATGAGACTGTGTTGATGGATTGCGCTGTAGTACGCCAGCGAGCCTGAGGGGGGCGCTGCCACCTCGGTTATAATCGCAAGGCGACGTTCGTAGAGGGAGAGGAGCATGTGTCCAGTCTTTCTGTTCCATCATGGACACAATTTTAGTTTTCTTTTGAGCAAGTGATAAACTCTTAGCGGTGGGTTTCTTTGGATTGAACAGAATTAGGCATTGCAAAAAGGAAAAAAGGCAAAGGAAATGTATTTTGGAAGATGACAGTGTGTTTTCATTCTGACGTTGTTTCATGGTTATATACATATATATATAAAAAAAAGATTTATTTTCATTCTCTTTATTAGGCCTAGAAGTGACCTCTAGGTCTATGACCATGGCTTTAACAGGAGGCTGCAAACATTGGCTATCATGTTAAAACGTCTAAAAGATATAAGACTAGAGAAAATGCACTGATTGATTTACGATCCCTTATTATTTGAGAAATTAAAAGAATTTGTTCATGGCATCTTCTGTCTTCCTCTACCATTCACTGCAGAAGAGCATGCAAAGTCCCATCAACTTAGCTGCTTCAAAATAGGCCTTTTACACTGCCACAAATTGATAATGGTGCACCATTCATTTTTCATTTTCACTAAAACCAGCATTCATTGACCCAAGCCTAGTTTTGTTTCACATAAACCAATTTTTGTTAGCTTCCCAGGTTTATTATGTTCGAGGAATGATCATGTTCAGTGGTGGTTTGTAGGCTGCACTGTCACTTGAGTCTACTGTCATGTTCTTCGCACTCCTCCCTTGTGGTTTCCCACAGTTTTACCATGACATAATGTGGACTCTCCTTAAATAGCATCCATATGTGTGGAGAAAGAATTCGAGTGTGGTTTCCTAGCTAAACTTGTGCTACAGCAAGCTCTCATGGGCTTTATTTCAGCCAGCTGCCCCATAGAACTGGGAAAGGCTTGTCTCCAGATGACAACCAGCAACTGGAATGGGGAGCACTGCAGATTAAACCCATGGATCTGCTGAACTAATTATCGGATTTACTGCAGATTGAATTTAATTCAATAGGATGTTCTGCTTTCATTGCTAGTTGATTAGGGTGTGCTGCTTTCTCTCTTTGTCAGCGTCGTATTCCTGTGGTTAAGCTGGCTTATCACTTTTGCCTACCAGGCTTTAGTAGTTTAAACTAATTCTTCATGATCATGTGTTCAGTGTTTCCCTTACAGGATTATTTCCAATAAAAA